GCTTAAACCAGGCTCGAAGTACTGTGTCATGAAGCAGTGGCCACTGCCTCGTGAACAAGTACTTGCGATCGACAAGTTCTTTGCCGATCGTTTAGCAGCGGGCCATGTGAGGGAATCAACTTCCCCACATAGCTCTCCGACCTTCTGTGTGCGAAAAGCAACAGGAGGGTGGCGGATAGTGCACGCGTTTAACAAATTGAACGCTGCAACGGTACCGGCTCAGACGCCGATACCGAGGAAGGACGTAATCATTGATGGTATGTCAAAGAGTACCATCTTTTCGTCCATGGATTTGATGGATGGCTTCTATCAAATCCTAATGCGGGAACGGGATATACCCTATACCGCAGTTAGCACGCCTAGCGGCATGCTCTGGGAATGGCTAGTAATGCCACAAGGGCTCAGTAATGCCCCTGCCACGTTCAACAGATGTGTATCACATCTGTTGAGACCAGTACGAGAGTTCGCGCCGAGTTATTTCGATGACGTATTCATCCATAGTCGAGCTATGGATGGAAAGTCGGACGTTGAGGTTCACAGGTACCACGTCCGACAAGTTCTTACAATCATGCGAAAGCATCAATTGTATGCTAACCTCAAGAAGTGTATATTTGCAGCAAGCGAAATACCACTTCTTGGGTGCATCGTTGGTAAGAACGGTGTACGTCCTGATCCCGAAAAGATCAAGGCGATCACCGACTGGCCTGTGCCGGTCGATGTCAAAGGTCTTCGAAAATTCCTTAGCTAGCGGCGTATTTGCATAAGTATTCACGCAATTACGCCGAGATGACTGTACACCTCTCTCGTTTGTTGAAAAAGAACGAGAGGTGGTTATGGAACGCTGAATGTCAACGCTCCTTTGAGGGTATCAAGCAGAGCTTGATACAATCCCCCAGTCCTAGCAATAGCCGATCAGGACAGGCCATTTCATGTGGTCTGTGATGCCAGCGATTTCGCAATCGGCTGTGCATTAATGCAGTACGACCTTGAAGGCGTTGAACGCGTCGTCTGCTATCAGTCGCGTCAGCTGCAACCAGCTGAGCGGAACTATCCAGTGCATGACAAGGAACTCCTTGCCATGAAGTATGCACTCGCGAAGTTCAGAGTCTATCTATTAGGAGATAGACCCTTCGTTGTTTACACTGACCATGCGTCCTTACGCACGGCAGTGAACAGCCCGCACCTTTCACAACGAATGGCGCGGTGGTTGTCATTCTTTGCAGAATACAACTTTACGGTCGAGTACAAACCAGGACGACTTAATGTCGTCGCTGATGCACTCTCACGTCGTCCCGACTTTGAAACAGTCGCGAAACCCAACAGTGAGACAGTCACTGTTGCGGTTATGACGTCCTCAGTTCCATCTACAACGTTGTATGATGATGTGAGGCGGGCATACGCCCAAGATGGTGAGATAGTGAAGTTGTTGTCACATCTCTCCCAACCATCCCGAGAATCGTTGAAACGATTGTCGTCTCGCGTATCGATCTGCATCAGATCGATACACTACTCGTAACGGTTTACTGTACTATACAGCCGTTTCTGGTGACACACCACGTGTTGTCATTCCAGATGATATTGATCTGCGTTTGCGGATCATGTTCGAGTATCACGATGCTCCTATAGGAGGACATCGTGGCCGAGAGAAAACATATCTCACGGTAAGTCGAGACTTTTACTGGCCCCGCCAGTATCAGTTTGTGCGAAAGTATGTTCGCGCATGCGAAGTCTGCCAACGAGTGAAGTCAAGTCCTTCACTGCGTGCACCTTTACAGCCTCTACCGGTTCCGGCTGAGTGCTGGGAATCCATCTCAATGGATTTCGTCTTCGGGTTACCCAAAGACGCACGCGGGAATACGGGTATTCTCGTATTTGTTGACAGATTCAGCAAAATGGTACACCTTGTGGCTGTACCAGAGACAATCACGGCAAGTGGCTGTGCTTGTGTCTTTATTGACACCATCTTCCGACTTCATGGGTTGCCCCGTGAACTCGTATCAGACAGAGATCCACGATTCACTGCTGATTTCTGGCGCTCCGTGTTCAAATCACTCGGAACGCGCTTGAAGATGTCAACATCTGATCATCCAGAGTCAGATGGTCAGACGGAACGTGCCAATCGTGTCCTTGAAGAGATACTTCGAGGATACGTACACTCCTTTAAGAGTTGGAGTGAGTTTTTGCCAATGGTAGAGTTTGCCATCAACAACTCGGTGCATGCGTCCACGACACATACACCGTTTTACGTGAATGGCTTGCGCCATCCGCGTGTACCCACCTTACTAGAGTGTAACTCTGGTTTAAGGGGGGAGGGACTCGCGCGAGCAAAAACCGATTTGGTTCACGCTCATCACGCTCTGACGAAGAAGTCATTGCGTTTGATGCCGATATCGATAACATCGATATCGAAGAAGATGATGCCAGTGAGAGTGCGGAAGCCCTCACTGAAGACAATGATCCCAGTGAGAGTGCGGAAGCCCTCACTGAAGAAAAGGTTGTTGTTGCTGCAGTGCGCTCACAGCACACTGAAGCTAACGAGTCATCAGATGAGTTCATACTGGCTCGTGAAACGGTAGTCCGTTTTGTGCAAGACTCCATCGCCGAAGCGGTGGATAAGCAAAAGCAAAAACGCTGACAAGAATGGAAGGGCAAACACTCTTTTATTTAATAAAGGTGACTTAGTCCTACTGTCTACGGTTAATCTACCAAAACATGTAGTGACTCAACTTGGGTAGCAGTAAACTACTACCCAAGTACATTGGCCCATTTCGTGTATTGCACCGCCTAGGCAATGCATACACGATCGAGTTACCACGTAAGATGCGAACGCATCCCACGTTTTACGTTGGTCGGCTTAAGCCGTACCATCAGTACGCTGCTTCTTCCGATGAAGAACGCCCTTGCGCTCAAGCATCTCGCAGAGAGCCTTGTGCTCCCGATGGTGGGCATCAACAAGGGTCTGAAGAGCAGTTATCTCAGCCCGAGACCGATCAACAATCCCACGAGCTACCCTTAGCTCGTCACGAAGAGATGTCAGAGATCTCTCGTTCTCAAGCTGAGCAAAGGCAAACTCAGCTCGATGCTTCGAGGCAGTGTCCACCATCTGGAGACGCCTATTCCGCTCATGCTCGAGATCGTCGCGTAACCCTTGCGTTACGCGATCAAAGAAGCTCTCGGGAACACACCGATCCACATGATCGTGTGGAGAGCGTCTTTCCTCCTCCTCCACCTCCATTAGAGGACTCTCGCGGTGGCCAGCGCTATCTAGTAGAGCAGCTGTTGAACCACCGCGACGTGAACGGACGTCGGACGAGTTACCTCGTCCGGTGGCGCGGCTATCCCCCGTCCTGGGATTCTTGGGAGCCCCGCTCCCAATTGATGGTTGACGTACTGGGTCTGGTCGAGCAGTACGACGCGACACATCCTGTGCCGCAGAAGGACCGCCGGAGAAAGTCTTCCCGGCACGGTCGTAAAGGGATTTCAGGTTGTCAATCCCTTCGTACATCTCAGTAGAGACACGTACGCGCCACCACGGGCTGGTAAGGAGGTAAGCCTCCTTAGGTGCTCGTGCAGAGTTGTTCACACAACATGGGCACGAGTCTCCCCAAGAGAGGCAGGGTAATCCTTTCTCCCTTGACAGACGATGCAGCTTGTAGCGTGCACCTGTCGGGGTTCGCTTTTCAAACTTATCACGAGCTTTGATAAGTTTGTCGTTCCAAGCGTCACGACCTACATCCTCGAGATTATGGATGTAGGCGTTCCACGCCTGAAGTAGTGAGGGACCATCACGTTTGTGATTCCCACTGTACCATCGATGTCTGAAGAAAGCATCGATGAAGAATTCATGTTCAGCGCGATAGTCTTTCGCGCTGGGGTCAAGGTGATGAATCCTTGACGAATCGAACAATCGTGTTCGATAACGATCACTCGTCGTCGCCGACAAGTGATCCATGACAGATTTAGGAGGCATCCATGCCTTCTTTTCTGGAGCGAGACGCAACACATTGCGGTCCCGCTCTTCCTGCGACGTGCCGACAGAAGTACTGGCACCTCGCTGTGAAGTGGTGTCCATTGGAGAAACGACACCACTATTAGCGCCCGAGTCTCGCGACCTCGAGCGCCTTCGCTTCGGCGATGGTTCATCTGACTCATCAGATGAACCAAAGATGCTGCGACGCAAAGCATCGTCCATGCCACGCTTGGCAGGCGGCTTGGATTCAATTGCCGTCGATACGGATCCGTCATCCGTATCAGGAGAGTACGAGACACCGAGCTCGTACTCTGTGAAGACACGAGTGTCTTCATGACCAGCGCCTGCATCACCAGGTGATACAGGCTGAGTCGATTCAGCAACCGATGGGACATCAGTTGCTGTAGTTTCTGCTTCGGCGTCCGCACAGAGACGTGCAGACGCGCTCTCGGCGGCCTTGCTCGCGCATCGCATGGGCTTGTTTACCATGCGATGAGATGTTGGAAAGTGGACGCGGACCAACAAGTGCAAACCCCGTCCCAAATGATTTGGGACGAGTATCCATTTAGTCAATCAGTCACTAAAGTGACTGATGGTTAAGGGGGGTGATGTAACGGGGTGAATCGTTACATAACAATTTATAAGAAATTGTTAATAGAATATAACTATAAGAGTTATATTCTCAGAATATTGTCATAAGGACAATATTCGGTAGCACTTCCAAGTAGTTCCTAATTGGTTGATATAGGCCATTATATCAACCAACGAAGACGCGCCACGACAGACGCACGCAATGAGTGGTGAGCAGATAACTGATTTACACATTTGTATTTAGACATAGTTAGATGAAGATAAATAGTGATTTATTGCAGACATTAACTATTATAAATACAGTTCTACTTTTTACTCTAACCGAGTACTCGCTTCTTCTTACCGTCTTCCTCTGCACGTACGAGTGTACGTGAAGTTACGAGGCACCGCCTTATTCTGTTATCAGAATAAGTAGCTTGTACTGTCACCAGTACAAGCTTCAGGGTGCCCCGTTACAGGTTGGGCCTGGTGAGGCTTTCATCGACTCAATTAGAGCCTCAAAAAGCTCCTTAGGAGGTACGTGCTCCACGGCCGGCGTGGATGAAGTCGTCTTTACCCCCTCAGGTAATCGGGGTTGTGATACCGCTGTCTGACGCGTCGACGCTCCGTCGCCGCCGCCAGGCGTTGACGAGTTTAAACCGTGATCGACCGAGGCTCCGACCGTGTCTGGCCCGTGGCTCGATACGAAAACCGCCTGCTGGTCGTCTGCCATGATGGTGTCAACTACGATATCTCCACCTGCCGTCTGGGTAACGAGTGGTCTTGTGACGCCAGTAGAGGCAGGGGAATCGTCCTGCCCGCCCTGAACCGCTACCATCCCGCGAGCCATTCCTGTGTGGCTCTGCCTATCGGGTAGCGCGTCGAATTGGGTGCTGTTCCCCTCCCCCCTATCGGGGGGGAGGCGCGGAGGTGGCTTGATGGCCGTCGTTCGAGTATCTGGCTGATGCCAGTACTGGTCCTGTTTATACTCCTCCTCCAAATAACGCTGATTGAAGAGTGACAGGCACATAGGTTCCTGCAGTTCAGTAGTGTTAGTCTCAAGCCAAGGGAAGAGGACATGCTTCATCTGCTGTTGTTGATCGAATGTCGAATGTCGTCTACGCGATCCCATTTTGGTTGCGAGAAAGCTGCTGATGGCAGGCGTCACGTGGACAAAAACTTACAGGAAGGTCGTCGCCAATGCGTCGCATCTCCAACCTGGTTCGTATGTGCGACTTACATGCAGTTGCGTCGAATGTCGACTCAAAAAGACACTCGTTCAGTGCTCGTGTCGGTGACAACATGGCGATCACCTTGGCCCGTCAACTCATTGCGAACAGAGTGCAAGTGAAGATGGGACAGGTATTCAAACCTACACAGCTGGGCGAACGGTAAACGTCGATCGGTTGTTCGACATACTCGAAGCGCATCAATGAGCGAAGGCTCGACAGCTTGAGACACGTGGTATCCCCGTCGACGGCGTGAGCTCAATGATGTTCAAGCGAAATCAACGCTGTCAACTTATGCCCAGCCCACCATCTTCTTTCAATGTAAACAGACGTTTCCAGGTTAAAACAGAGTCAAGGCTGCAAGAATAGCTGCGACTCCAGCCCCATTACCGACAAGTTAAGGTGAGATAAGTGCAAGAACTTTGTTAACGTGGATGTTGAATCCGAGTTCCCTCTCGCCTTCATCCAGCAGGCAGTGTACTAGAAAGCCAGCAGTTATCTTCCATATCAAACAATGTAAAGAGGAGATTATGGTCAAGTTCGTCAAGAGCTGTCGAGTTGTCGTCGTGTTCTCCATCCCCAGGAGATGAAGAAGGGATTGTCGCGCACAACTTCGTTTGGACGACTGAAAAAAGTCTCTCACATTCTTCGGATCGTCTTCAACGATTCCCCACTACCAAGTGCTATTCATCATGCTGTCGATGTGACTACAACCTCCAGCACTTGTTCAAGTGACTTTGCTCATTCTCCATTCAGCTGCTTGCGTTCAACACCTTCCAGCATGAAGTTGTATCTCCAGCTCATCACTGCAAGTCTGTCACTCGCAACACTCCAATGTGCACTCGTCCCTTCAACCTACAAGGGTTCAAAGGGTCTGCATGAACTGGCCAAGGAGCACGGCAAATACACGGGTACAGCCACGGACAATGGTGAACTGACCGATAAGTTTTACGTCGAAGCCCTTCAGGACGCGAGTGAGTTCGGCATGATCACCCCTGGGAATGCCATGAAATGGGATGCCACCGAGCCAACCCAGAACACCTTCACCTATACCAAGGCTGACGAGATCGTTGCGCTCGCTAAGAAGTCGGGGGCTCAAATCCGGTGCCACACGCTCTTGTGGCACTCGCAAGTCCCATCTTGGGTCCAAAGTCTCAGCAAAACCGAGATGCTGAGTGCACTGGAAAACCACATTACCAAAGTCATGACGCACTTTGGAGATACGTGCTATGCGTGGGATGTGGCCAACGAGGTCATGGGGGATGACGCAGTCTACCGCAAGTCGTTCTGGTACAACGCTACGGGCACGGACTACATTGTCACGGCCTTTAAAACAGCGAATGCCGTCAAGAAGTCCTTGAAGTTGAAGACCAAGTTGTACTACAACGACTATAACACCAACACGATCAATGCCAAGTCCACGGCTGTCCTGGACATGATCCAGAAACTGCTGCTTGATGCGGATATCGGGATTGACGGCATGGGGTTCCAGTCGCACTCGAGTTTCTCCGACACGTCTTCGACCGAAGACCTCGTGGCCAATTTAGAGCGCTTCTCGGCACTTGGACTGGACGTTGCGTACACGGAACTTGACGTCAAGACGAGCTCCCCGACGCCATCGCCAGAGGAGGAAGAAAAGCAAGTGGTCGTGTACACCAACACGATTGCAGCATGTCGGAAGGTGAAGAAATGCGTGGGCGTGACGATCTGGGGCTTTGCGGACCAGTATACCTGGCTCAAGGACTCGGCGCCACTTCCATGGTATCAGCCAGCTGGAAAAGGCACGAAGCTTGTGCGCAAGCGTGCGTACGATGGAATTGCTGCCGGGTGGGGGCCTTCTGCCAGTAGTAACTCGTCCACGTCGAGTGGTGCTGCTGGTGAAGGTAAGACTGAAAGCCCGAGCAAGGAAGACGAGGGTAGTCCTGATGATGAGACGTTGACGGCTGAGAAGAGTGATGCCAAAGCACCGGGTGGCGGTGAAGATGCCGAAGATTTGACGGTGAATACTTCTTTGGAGACCACGAGCAGCTCGTTAAGCGACGATGACGGTGGGGGTAATGAAGTTGCAAGTGAGGCAATTCACAACGTCGACGATGCTGTCAAAACTGGTACCTCGAGTCAAAGCGACTCGGTCACTGAAGATCTATCGTCGTTGGTTCCGACAACCACAGCAGAAAACGAGAGCAGCACTCAATCTGCGTCAACCAAAGAAGGCGCTGCCTGCATTCGTCACCTTCGCAAGTAAACAATGTCGCGGAAATAGTTTCTCGAGTAGGATGTTGGTGTCTATCGTGCATTGAGCTCTTGCCTTGGGGGAGTCCAAGTACTAGCACTGCAAGAGTGAAGATCGGGTGGATCAAGTGAGGATTGAGTTGTTGTTTCCCGATTAAATACTTCCGTTATCCCATACAACTTGCATTCAGGTTGACGTGATTGATTATCTTGTGTAACTTGCACAGCTTCGAAGTCAGGTCTAGTGTGCAACGTCTATAGCTCGGTTATAGTGTCTTCGCAGTTGAACTCAACAACGCAAGGTCTCTTGGGCTTCTGCTTCACGTCCGGATAGTCGTGAGCGGCACAACCACAGTTTGCAAGTCGAATAAAAGCAATACGTGTATGTAAATCATCTATCAACTCCGATCAACACCGGCCTGCAAAGTATGTGCGTTTACTTCTTCGACACCTTCTTCTTGCCTCGAGCCTTCTTCTTTACCGGCGGCGTCGTTGTCTCTGCAGATTTATCCTCCACCTTATCATTCGAGCTCTCCTTCTTGTGCGTCTCCTTCTCTGCTTCTTTCGCTTTTACAGCCTTCGTAGTCTTCTTCGACTTTGGCGTTACGTGCTTCTTCACAACGACTCCTCCTTCTTTCTTTACTTGATCCGTCTTTGATGTAGCTTTCTTTACATCAGCTACCTCCTTGACTTGTTGTACAGACTTCATAGACTCCTTAACATCTTTCGCCTCGGCAAGAAACTCCTCGAGCTTTCGCTTCTTCAGATTCGCAGTCTTGCCAACAGGCGGTAGCTTCGCCAAAGACGCAAGTGCATTGTACACGGGCAGAGCGACGGAATCATTTGTCTTGATGCTGATCGACTGCACGCCGTTCCAGCCCTTGGGCACGAGATTAGCGCAGTGGTTCATGGCTACCATAATGTTCTCCACCATCTGCTCGGGCGTCATGTCCAGCCGCGCGACTTTCACATTGTTGCACACGCCAGCACTGACATGCAACGCCGTCCGACGCGAGGCAAGTCGGACACTAGTCGAGACGTTCTTGCGAGATACGCGCACGGCCACTGGCGCTTTCTTCTTCACGAAAAACTTCGTGCCCAGTGCACTCTTGAGGTACGGCAGCACCCGGTCATCCGCCAAGAACATGTCATAAGCATCAGCCAGCGCTCGCTTGTCTTCGAACCGGGAAAAGTTCTTGCGCAGTTTCTTCACAGTCAAGACTTTGGTCACACCCGTAACCGGATCACCAGCCAGCGCTTCTTTAATGCGCTTCTTGTCACTGTCCTTGACAATGAGACAAATCTCCGCTCCCTCGTCGTACAGCGCGTGCGACAGCGTGCTACAAACCAAGATCAAAGCCGGTCACAAGTCAATACAAACGTCAGCATATCGCCATTGAATGTCCGCATCTTTGCCGACTGCAAATGATAGAAACGTGATCATTACATGGGAATGGGCTTGAGCGAGGTCTTGGCAGGGACTAATTTGCGTGTTAAAATGCACGAGACGTAGTCCACGTCGTCCACCAGCGGCGCCTTGGTTTGCTCTTGCGTTCGCTTGGCTACAAACGCCTGAAGCGCAAGCACAGCACGACGAACTTGCGCCTCATCGAGAGGGTTCCGCAGCCCCTTGGTCATCAGAAGCAGTTGCATCAAGTGGAGTCGAGGGAGAGCAAGTGAGTGGCTACATAATGGCTGGCGGGGACTCATTGTCGTCGTGGATTGGTTGAAAACAAATCAAATCGGTGATTGGATGATATGGATCAAGAGAGCGTCGGTGTGATCGAATGTTGCGCGAGTGTTGCACGAAGTCATACGAGGCGTCGCCCACACCACGATCATGCAGGTCAAGGTGATTACTGGCGGGAATCGAGTCAAGGACTATGGCTACATCGACGTGCCGGGCACCACCTCAACGGTCGCTGACTTGAAGCGCGCGTTCGAGAAGCACGCCGGCGTGTCGGTCGCTCGTCAGAGTCTCAAGTTGCAACAAGATGCAGCTGGTAAGACGCTCGTGGCGTTGTCGGACGACGCTAAGTTGCTCCAAGACGTCGGCGTCACAGATGGCGCAACATTAGTGTTTCGTGATTTGGGGCCTCAAATTGGGTACCGCACGGTTTTTGTGCTGGAGTATTTAGGACCATTCCTAATAGTGCTCGGGTACGCTGCTCGACCTGCTCTGATTTACGGCCCAGAAGCAGCTCAAAAACCATGGCACGTGGCCGCTCTATTAGGAGTTGTCGCCTGGACTCTCCACTTTATCAAGCGTGAGTCGGAGACGCTGTTTGTCCACCGGTTTAGTCGCCCGACAATGCCATTGCGCAACTTGTTCAAGAACTGCAGTTACTACTGGACTTTTGCGGCTGTCGTGGGCTTTCCATTGTGTCATCCAGAGTACACGGGACCGACGTCTCCAGTGCAGATCGGGGCTGGCCTCGTGCTCATGGGGATCTCGGAGCTCCTGAACTTGTGCATCCACGTGCAACTGCGGAATTTGCGTCCGGCTGAAGGGTCCAAAGCTCGTCCCATTCCAAAGGGACCGTTGTTTGCTTTGGTGTCGTGTCCCAATTACACATTTGAAGTGCTTGGCTGGGTCGGGTTCTCCTTGTTTACGCAAATAGCAGCAAGCTACGTGTTTACGGCCGTGGGGTTGTTGCAAATGGCGGATTGGGCGTTGAAGAAACACGGCGGGTACTTGAAGAGCTACGGAGACGAGTACAAGAAGCTGCGCCGCAAAGCGATTGTTCCGTTTGTTCTCTAAGGTGGACAACGAGAGCGAACGGGGCAAAACGGGGGTGGATTAAGGGATTGACGCGAGGAGAAAGAAGGACGATTGAGAGGGCGGAGAGCCAGTATGAACAGAACACGGACGTGCTTTGACTTGGTGGAGCCTTTTTGTTTCGCGTTAACTGACTTGCTGTACTGTGTTGAGATGCTACCAGCTCTGTTTGACGCGCAGGGCGGTATGATCTTTTTTGCGTGTGCCCTAGTGGATGGGAACTGTATTGCTTGTTTACTGACACAGGTGTCGTTGTCTGCAGTGTACGTGCAACCACTATAGCACTACTGTGCAGATACGGGCTACTGAAAATGCGTCGAACGTGTCCAGTCCTGTTTCAAAGCTCATCTTGGTACCGCCAAAGATGTGCTGTACGTGGCCGCTCGAGCGAAAACTAGGTCGGCAGAGCATCACCTGGAATTAAGTGAAGCAAGGATTGGTGCGCTACGTACTTTGCTACTGCATCGCCCGACAGCTAGATGGATTTGTAATACCAGCATTAAGCCTTTGTCAAGCTCAAGAACGGCGACATGGCAACCCGTACGACAACACGCTGTAATGTTGTGACTCCATGTCTCATTCACGTCGCATCTGCAGCAGTTTACACAAGGGTGTCTCGGATACTGACGCGGCAACTGAAAGCTGTACTGCACATGATGACGTTCCTCACTTGGGTGCTGGTAGGTGACGTCGTCCTACACAAATGCCACGAACTTTATAGCTTACGCCATGCTGATCAGGGGCCGTGGACCTTGTCGATGCTTGTAAGGCGGTGCATTCGACCGACCCGAGATGCTGTGGCTAGCTGTGTCCAAGTCTAGACGTCAAACAATTTGCAATGTTCCTACGACCTGTCGCATCGCAGTGTTGCGGCTTCCCAGCGATGCTACAACGTGAGGCAGCATCAAGAAAGTGGTGTCGTCACGCCAAGACGCTCATTCTTGAATGCTTGACGTGGTCTTGACTTAACGGCTATCACGTGCTACCAGTATGATGATCCATGCCGCAGATAAGGACGAGTGAGTCGGTGCTTGTACACCGTCTCCATGCACGTGGACCAGCAACAGAGAGTGATGCTACCATCCGGCAGGGTGGATACTACCACAATGACAACATCAGTGTGGCAACATCTACACATGATGCGGCACTAGCTGTTTCTGAAGTTGGCTCTGCAGCTCCCGATGATCCATGAACGACACGTCATTGCTCCAATGGCTCGGTTTCTTTCGTGTCAAAGTATCGCCGGCTCGCCGCATGCCAGACTTCAAAATGGTCTGCAAGTGTCGAGCAGTTCAAACCACTTGGAGCTTGCAGTCCAGTCGACATCCGGAACGTCTCTACAATTGCGACAAACTGAAGCTTGACAAGGACGAGACGTCGTCAAGCCGCAGCGTATCTGCTCGCGAACTCATCAAATGGGCCAACGAGCGTGCATCGGCTCAGTATGCGATGGACCCAGCGTCTCTTTTTCCCTCTTGTCCCCATCTGCACAAAGTCGATCGGAACACAAGACCAGGCCATCTACCAACAAAAGCCCCTCAAGGTACAACAAACGCGCGATACACGTCTCACTGTTGCTGACCATCAAGGCGAAACGAACAACAGCAGCAGCGTCGATTGGTTTTTCCAAGCAATTACGTCCATTCGGAGGACTCTACAACCGCTCACCTCGCAACCGTCGTTCATAGAGCGTTAGACCCAATCGACGGAGATATCTGCTGTGCTATACCGTCCATCGGCTCCTCTCCGACTATAACTAACGCCATGGACTTGGTCATCGATCCGAAGACCAACCTCACGAATGTATCAACTTCACATGGTCAAGCACGGCACTGATCTTAACATTCCTTCGCAGTCCGAGTCAATTCGCGATAGTCCGTTCGATGCATTGATAATAAATAGACCAGGCGACGGACGGACGGACGACACGCTTGACTCGGGACCAGCTGCTTTCGTGCCACGTGAGACTTGGAGGAACTAGTTCTAGGGAGAGCAGGAGGAAGAAAAGGAGGAAAAGAGGAACTGTACGAATGCATAAGAGGGGAGGTGACCGCCGTCATGGTCGTGCCAGCCGGCGGCAGCGGCTTTCCCGTCGCCCACCACTTCTGTCCATTTTCTCGACCAGAACGGGTGTGATTTGCACCGACGACGGCCCTCCCGACCGGCTTACGCACCTCCAGGCTGCAAGCTGTTTATCGGTGGCGACGACACTGGTCAGTGGAACCGCGTTTGGAGCCACTCCTCCTGCTACTGCTCGTACCGCTCGAGCGACTTCACCTCGCACCACTATCACGTAACGTGCTTTCGCCACCTGGCACGCCGCTGCTCTCGCAGGTCTTTTCCCTTGCAGAGCTCTTGGGAAAGAGAGAGAGAGAGACAGCAGGTATTCATGAACCAGACGCGACAGACTCATGCGAAATCGTTCTGTCGGTCGTCGTCCATGCTCGTGCTCGTCCTTGGGCTCGTGGGTGGGCTCGTCGTGACGGACGTCAATGCTCGGACGGGGGCGGGTGTACCCCCGGTCATGGTCATGTCCGATCTAGAGACGGACTTGACAGCCGATTCAGCCACGAGGCCGGCTACGGTACTTCCGGCTGGACACGACGAGGAGGACGACACGAGTGGTTCGTCGTCGTCGTCGTCGTGGAACGTGTCGCGTTTCCATCGGGGAGGCGTGAGAAGAAGGAGTCGGATGAGACGTCGTAAGAAGGCGACGACGTCAAGAGCTGTAGGAAGTGAGGGAGTGCCAGCGACGATCGCGCCTGCTAGTACGGAGACTGGTGCAGAGTCAGAAGTTGCAGCAAGAGAGATGCTGAAGGGGGTTCCTGGTGCGGTTGGGACGCTGCCGACTCCTGTTGTAGATGCTTACAATACTTTGGGTACACCGGAAGCTCCAACTCCAGTCCAAATGGAACCTTCGGTGCCTGCTGTAGTCTTAGCTGCAGCCCCGACGCCTGCTCCAGTCGCTCCCGAAGTACCAAAGCCTGCCACAGTCCCCACTGAAGCTCCGACGCCAGCTCCAGTCCCATCTGAAGCATCAATGCCAGCTCCGATCCCGGCTGAAGCTCCATTGCCAGCTCTTATTCCAGGTGAAGTTCCAGCTCCAGCTCCTGTTCTACCCGAAGCGCCTACACCAGCTCCGATTCCACCTGAAGCTGTAATACCAGCTATAGTCCCAGCTGACCTTCCAGCACCAGCTCCTATTCCAGGTGAACCTCCGACACCAGCTCCTATTCTACCTGGAACTCCAGTCCCAGCTCCAGTTCCGGCTGATGCTCCGACACCAGCTCCCATTCCAGGTGAACCTCCGACACCAGCTCCCATTCCAGGTGGACCTCCGACACCAGCTCCCATTCCAGGTGAACCTCCGACACCAGCTCCTGTTCCAGGTGAACCTCCGACACCAGCTCCCATTCCAGGTGGACCTCCGACACCAGCTCCCATTCCAGGTGAACCTCCGACACCAGCTCCCATTCCAGGTGGACTTCCGACACCAGCTCCTGTTCCAGGTGGACCTCCGACACCAGCTCCCATTCCAGGTGAACCTCCGACACCAGCTCCTGTTCCAGTTGAACCTCCGACACCAGCTTCAGTTCCTACTGAAGTACTGACACCTGGTCCTACACCAGCACCAGCAGCTTTGACTCCAACACCGGTACCGATTCCGGTTGATGCAGACGTGCCTTTGCCGCCGTACAACCCAACGCCTGAAGCCCTGCCAAAAGTCCCAGCAATAACGACACCAACGACTGCAGCAACTACCTTACCGACAGAACTTCCTCGTGAAGACATTCCGTCTCCTATCGAAGGTTCATCTTCAAGTAACACGCCCAATTCAACGACCGATTCGTTCGACTCGGACGTGACCTCCGCCTCGACTCACTACGAAGACGCGACCCAGGACTTGGTCGACGAGAGCTCAGATCGGACACCGGACGACAGTTCTTCGACTTCGTTGGTCCTCACGTTCGCGCCAATTATAGCGGACCACGCGACCACCGATTCCTCTGCTGACCCGGAACTCAACCACGATGTCCATCATAGCAATGCCAGCACATCTGCTGGCCGGCCGCGACCACTTGGAGGCTGGAAACTCGCGCTCGTCGTGATCGGCGCTATTTGTGTCGTCATCGTCTCCATCATCTTGGTGCACATGCGTTACGTGCGCGTGGCCGCAGCAAACAAGCGCCATCGAGGCAGTTCTCAGCAACGGGCGCTCGATTCTTTCTTCCGGCAGAACCGCGTGACCGTCGGTCGCGAAACTGGCATCTCGTCCGGTGTGTTCGTCACGGACCCGCTCACTCCGCGCGACGAGATCGCCGTGACGATGCCAATGGACGCAAGATTCCAGACTCAAACGGTCGATTTTACTGCAGCAGCACCAGTAGCAGCACCCGCGTACGTTCGAAGACCGTACACTCCAGGGGTGCTAGATACCCCAACCGACAGTCACCAAGGCCAAGAGTTTGACTCGTTCACAGGTCCAGCACCGCTCGCTCTGTCGTCGAGCTCTTCGTCATTGTACTGGTCCAACTCGGTGTCTTCCGACGCGAACTCGGCCTCGCACGAAAGTCTCGATCTGTCCGGCCAGTTGCTGCCACCACTACCCGTTGCGATTCGAGCTGCGCGTACGTCGTCCGTCACGTTTAGCACAGATGTGATGAGGGATACGAATCGGTCCGAGCAGTCGAGGAGCGGCTTTTCCGTCCGGTTCGCGACGTCAACGTCACCCGACGACGTCAACTGGACGAGTACGTCACAATCAGAAGGCTTAGGTAGTAGTGCCTTGCCAGTATCAGCTACAACGTCCAGGACAAGAAATTGATGACAGTTACGAGGAAGCGACGCGAGGCCTAATGCTCGGCGCCTTATAGTCAACACTTTAGCATCGTCCGATAGTGTATTTGTAACCTAAAACGAACTAGAACATGCTCGTCTTGCAGTCTATTCTACTGGGCTTCAACCGACGCGTTGGCAGTGGCCATGACTGATCGAATCCGGTCGCGCGTCGCGAGTCCCTTGACTCCGAGCGCACGCTCGTCTTTTAGACTCAAGAGGTAATTGTCCAGCCCCCCACACTTGTCCACACATCGCAGCGTGTGCGTCGTCACGTTCAGTCCGACCTTCTCGTCCAGCGTCTCCGAGTAGAGGCTCTTCCACTGGTGATTCACTTTCCAGTCACGACGGGTTCGGCGTTTGGAGAACGACACGTTGTTGCCAAAGGCCTTGTCCCGACCAGCAAAGAGACCACGTTGGGCACGGCCGGACACGTGCTGACGTTTGGACGCGCGCGTAAAGGCCTCGAGGAACCGCAAGGGAGACGTCGCCATGGTTGAAAGAAGATGGACGGAAAGTAAAATAAAATGGTTGGTGGACAGCGCTTGGCGGAAGGTACTTGAGTTCACTATGGGATGACGGGGATCAAGTTAGAGAGACGCAGGTTGTCGCTCTGTTGAGAATATGTCGAGGATGACTAATGAGAGGGGGTGTTGCCTGGTGATTCTAACGGACTTGCATGTTCGGCTGTGTTTTGCTTGCCTTTAGTTGCAAAGTGGTAAAGTAACTAAGAGTCCAACAATGCAGACATCGATTTAAATTCTCGCAATTCACGGAAGTGGCTGCACGATCCACCTGCTTCTTCTCTTGCTAATCGCTTACGCATCAAAGGTAGGAGCCGTTTGACTTGTTTTGCACCAGAGGAGGGGCCAAGATTGTCAAGGTGGCGCACCCGATGATGGATTTTGAAAGGACTCTTGCAGAGTAGAGTACTTCGATACACGCATCGGTAAACAACGGAGGAGCATCATTGTAGTAAACAACAAAGACGCACTAATTCGTAGACGTCGTATGCAAATTGCCACTTCTTAATGGTTCGGTATCATTGCAAACAGCACACTGGTGCTTGTTCATTCCAAGGCTTGACGTCACCTGCACCTACACAAAGTCATTACAACTGCTCATCATGAACGACATCTGTACGGCATCCAGTGTCCGTTTCAAACTAATTGGGTATGTTCTCGCGGGTAGAAATGCCGTATTGATGTCGGGGAAACTAGAAAGCCGCGATCTTTTCGCTTCCGAGCTGGATGTCGTACACCATTTACGTCGTTTGAGGGACAATCCCATGAAATCTTGACGGACCCCTTCCGTCTGTTTATTCGTGGTTTGCAAATACATAGACAGACGGCATGACGTCGTCGAGTAAAACAATTCCATCCGACAACTTATCTCTGTTGCATCTAGCAGCTCGTGTCCACACTAACTTCCATGCCATAGTGTTAGAACTCAGTGTCTTTGTGAACCAAATGACGAGTCAACTGCGCCAAGAACATTCGTATGAACGTATGCATGTCCGATAAAAGGTCAAGCGGAAGTGTATTAAAGCGCAAGAAAATAACGACTACAACCTTTGGAGCTCTCGACCAAAGAGCAGCACTACACGTGTACGTACGCTGAGTCGATCCACCACTGACTCTTAAGGTCGACCTTGAAGAAATCCTTCAAGGCCACAGCTGCCTTTAGCTGGATGCCCAAGCCAGGTCGACCGTTCCCCTTCGCCGCACCTGGGCCAGTGTTGTTAAACTCGCCAAACTCTACGTGATCCGTGCTGTCACCGTTCCAGTCCGACCAACCAGCGGCATTGACCACGTCACTGAGCTCACTGTTCTGGAACGCGACGCGAGCATAAGGACGCCACGGACGACCGAGGTAGGACATGCCCGGCTTGTACCCCTTTTTCGAGCTGTAGACATTCGCGTGGTTGAAGACGTAATACGAGTCCATGTCGGCGCTGGAACGACCGTTGGCAGTGATATATCCCGCATCGATACAGTCGATATCGCAGTGCTCGAACCAAGCCACGGCCTTGGTGCCGAAAATGAAGTCAACGGCGCCACTGATGTAGGAGTTAGCAAACATGATAAGCCCCTTCTTGGTCAACAAAGTGTCTTGATACCCAGTGAACTTGCAGCCGTAGAAGCCGTAGTTGGTCCCGTCCACAGTCGCCGCGACAGCTTGTCCCGTGTTGCCCGCCGTGTTGGCGATGTTGAGGTTGTAGACTTTCACGTTGTTCGCCTTGAAGTGCATGGCGCTGGTCTCTGCATTGTGATCGCTCGTCACATTCTTCGGTAAGTTCTTCTGCGACATTTCGTGGGTGATCGTCGCCTGGTTCTTCGCATACGACGTTGCATCACACGTGGCGCCTTGGAGCACAAGTTTGCCTTTGATAGGCGGAATGACCACGCGTCCCTCGTAAACACCAGAGAAGACGAAGATCGTCTGATCCTCCTCCAACGAGCGGTCCAGTCCTGCAACAGCGTCGATCATGTTCCGGAAGCTGCCTTGGTATTTAGGATCACCCGTAGGATCCACAACGATCGCACCAACCGGTGGCTCAATCCGAGCGTTGGGGCCACTGCACTTGATCGGATTGGCTGCGATCATGGTCATGATGCTGGCAAGAGCTAGTAGCGATGGCACGAAGATCCTCATGGTTACCGGATTGGGTCTTGATGGAGGCGAGGAAAAACTCAAAGTGAGATTAAATGTGTGCGACGGTCTCTACTTGTTCGGTACGTTCACGATGCAGCATCAGACGACCCGAATGTCACAGGCAGAACGTGCTTTGGAGCTGGAGATTTCAGGATGGGAAGGGGTCCCATGCTGTCTATCTATCTATCGACAATGTCGATGGTAAGACGTCGCAAACATGGATCTATTCAGCAGCAAGTGTACAGTGGAAGTGGTCCGGCTCGATCTTCAGTGACTTCATCGTCATGTCGCGCGTACATCTGGTGGAGTCTAGAGCAGCTGGGCAAATCGCAGACTCACTCGGCGCGATGGTAAAAGTGCCTTTTCCTTCGGAATCGACACTTCTCGCGATTGACACGCACGTTGCGTGTCTTATGTTTGAGTAATGATGGGCCTCGCTTGTCCATTGTTCATTATCGTCATGGAGTTTAGGAATGACCGCCGGTCTATTCATGCAGCAAGAAGTACGCAAGTTTGGTGCTTGGGTAGCTCTTACGGTCAATGTTCATTATGCAGACTTTGTATCGACTCGACAGGCAGTCAAAACCATGTGATTCGGCTGAATGATCATCATGTTGAAGTGGTCATGGTGTCATGTCTCGCGGCAGCAAAGCAGTATGAGACCTGTACTACCTGTACACTGCGAGCCTAGAGAACGTCGCAGATCAGCCCGTTGTCGCCTCCTTTTCCCTTCTACCGACTCTTTCTCGGTAACACATGTAGGCCGCCACCCGCTCGAATCGACGACGCTCATCAGAAGCAGTTTTGCTTGCTACCTCCCATCCCAAAATCTCGGTGATTGCGTGTTGGATAGACGAATTGCGACGCACCGCAACCCACATCCCGATCTTTGCTGGCGCGAGGACGTGGATACAGCAAGGATTAAAACCGTGATGTGCGACAGATCTCCTCATCTCGACTAAATGGCGGCAAGCTTCAACGGTGCGAGTCGTCAATGATGGGACTGCTTCTATGTTGCACCATCGACTCCACACGACCACAAAGGGCTATTACATGCATGAGGCTGGGTACGTTCTTCCGAATTGGTCGCAGCGCCCCGGACTCCGGGCACAAAGACTCTTTCATATGCGTACTTGCATCAGTAAAACGATACGATGGCCAGTGGACCCTGCCGTGGGTAGCACATCCTCGCATTTTGCCTATCCGGCGATAGAAGCGTCGACATCTTCAGATAGGACATACTAGCACGACAGCTCCCATTAGCATCGTCGATTTGAGCGGGCGGAGGAATGGAAAGGGTCGAAATTCATTGAACTATAAAGACGGTGCGAAATCATCCGTCCGGGATGTGGGTGACGACAATCGCAATGATACAGTCGCCGCGAAACCGGACCGGGAGGTCCAAGAAGCCCGCGCACGGAGATTGTTCACCACGCAGGTCCACCGATCATTCACCCCAGGGGTACCGGCCGAGCAAACCATGTTGGCAGTGACCGACGTGAAAGGGGCAAGAAGGGGCCTGCTAGCAAACCGGCAAGGGGAACTAGTGGTCAAGCACCCCCACATAGCGGCTACTGCTACGACAGCCATCACACGACCAGAAGTGCCGTTGCTCACCAACGGGACCTGTAACGGGGTGAATCGTTACATAACAATTTATAAGAAATTGTTAATAGAATATAACTATAAGAATTATATTCTCAGAATATTGTCAAAAGGACAAATATTCTGTAGCACTTACGAGTAGTTCCTAATTGGTTGATATAGGCCATTGTATCAACCAACGAAGACGCGCCACGACAGACGCACGCAATGAGTGGTGAGCAGATAGTTGATTTACACATTTGTATTTAGACATAGTTAGATGAAGATAAATAGTGATTTATTGCAGACATTAACTATTATAAATACAGTTCTACTTTTTACTTTAACCAAGTACTCGCTTCTCCTTACCGTCTTCCTCTGCACGTACCAGTGTACGTGAAGTTACGAGGCACCGCCTTATTCTGTCATCAGAATAAGTAGCTTGTACTGTCACCAGTACAAGCTTCAGGGTGCCCCGTTACACCTGGTAGCACTTCGTAGTCCGTCCAAGGACCGCGTTCACATCCAACATGAATATGTTGGATGATGAAGATGACCAAAGCTTTCACGCTACGTGTGACGGCTACTCCCATTTGAGCGATGTCGAATGGGATGCGGTTGGACGGATGGGTTCGGCCATGGGCATCCATGCTGTTAGCGTCATGCTAGAGGCTCTCAATAGAGATGCTCAACATGCTACTATCGCCAAGTTCATTCAAAATGAATGTGACGCTGAACGCGAGAAAGTAGCCTTGCTTCACCAACAAGGTTCTCAACAAGCAGAGTTGTTGAGAGAACAGGGTGCTCAACAGTTTGAACTGTTGAGACAGCAGCAGGCTGCTGCTGGTGGGTCGATGCACTCGCGTCGACCCGAAACCTTGAAGATTGACATCTCCAAGTATAGGGGAGTCGAAGAGGACTCCCTCTTGAGATGGTTTGTTGAATTAGACGACGCCATAAGGGCGCGTCGCATCGACGATGGGGAAATGCAAGTTGCATTTGCCCAATCAAATCTGGCAGGACGTGCCAAGACTTGGGCTTTGGGACTCAAGTTGCACGACCCATTTGCGTTTGGGTCGTTGAAAGTCTTCAAGTCGCGGCTCAGACAAACGTTTGAACCGCCTAGAGCTGAGTTCAGAGCTCGAACTGAACTCTTGAAGCTCAAGCAGGGTTAGCGTGATGTGCACGCTTACGCACAACATATACGACATCTTACGAGTTGTATAAGTTCCAATCCGGTGGATGAACACACGTTGGTTCCGGTGTTCATGCAGGGTCTTGCGGATGGTCCCCTCAAGACTCACCTGTTCCGGCTTGAACTAGATTCACTAGAACAAGCCATATCCATTGCGGAACACGAAGACTTCAGTCTGAGACAGGCTCGCGCCAGCTCGACATCATATCGTCAACCGAGACGATATGACAGCGGAGGTCCAGAGCCGATGGAACTCTGTTACGTAGAGAGCGAGAAGGCTCGCTCTACAGACTACAAGAAGTTGCAGAAATGCAACAGATGTCAAAAGACAGGACACTACGCTTACGAGTGTAGTGCCCCTCGTCCAGTGTCTTGCGACACTGGGCGTAGTGACCGTCCACCCATGAGAAAGGGGCAGGGACGAGGGTCCGCAGTTGGTGCAAAGACGCAACAACGGGATGGACCGTCAAAAAACGGACAGGATCAGTAGGTGCGGAGCACCCTACTGGTCCAGCAACGTCAAGAGAATTTGTAGGCCTCTTGATGAAGGTTGCTCCCAACACACAAACGTTGTGCATTGCTGCTCTAGGTAATGAGATCTCACTCATTACCTTGAAACTCGAAGTGACAAACAAGTTGTCCCTTCGAGCTCTAGTCGATTGTGGGGCGTCCAGCAATTTTGTGCGACTCCAATCACTAGAAGATGGTCACTTTAAGTTCAGTGAATGTGACACACCTCCTACGAGGATGACGGTACGTCTTGCGACAGGCGCGTCCGTGACCGTCATGAAGCGTATAGTGAAGATCCACTATACGCTAGAAGATACCCAATATGACGATGACTTTATCGTATTGGATTTGGATGACAAATTTGATGTCATCCTTGGAATACCGTGGCTCAGAAGGTACGAACCACGAGTAAACTGGCAACATCGAATAGTAACGATGCCTGCCGCTTGTTCATCAGATGGCCATCTGATGAACGTTTTGGAGCGTCCACAAGCGTGTGGATGTACTACGAGTAAGTGCGATGGCCTCACTTGTGGTACGGTCGTTAGTACGACTGCACAAAACCTTAGTGTACCAAACGGTTACACTTCGGAGCAAAGTTCCGGCGGCTGTGAGGAAACACAGGCTGCGCCGAAGGTCCACCACTCGAATAAGTCGAGTGGACCGGGACAAAGATGTATCCCTAGCGGGGAACATCTAGAAGAGAAACAATCGATCGCTCAGGTTAAGCGAAACGATAATCCTAGATCGACTGGAGAGTCTTTCGTAGAGGATCTCGCTGTGGTTGCGCAACCCCAGCTAGAGGAAGTAAAGGGAAAAAGTCCCAAGATTACAAATACGGCGGAAATAAGTTCCCCGAAACCCGCGGGAATAAGTCCCCGGGAAGCCGAAGGAATAAGTCCTTCGCAGCCTGAGGGAATAAGTCCCCAGGGAATGACAGAGACATTGAATGTCCTAGTCAATGATGGATCAAGTGTAGGCGCTTATACACTTGATCTGATTGCGCCTCCGAAGTTAACTTCGGAGATCACTCAGTTGCCAACGCTCGAACATAAAAGGTTCTTGCGTGATCTGCGTAGTGGCAAAGTCAAGCAGATCTGCATACTCGTCGCTGACGACGAGTGTGTAGCCGACATAAGGTCAGCAACAGTGTTCACTGAGAACGAGAGAGTTCTCAGTAGTTCATCTATGGACGAGAGTGTCCTAGATGAAAAGACACGAATTGAGCGATATGACTCCCAATCATGGGAATCGCTCAAGACAAATCATATCTATGAAGATTTGGTTGAATTCAAGGATGCATTCCCTGAAACTGTTCCGTGCGAATTACCAAAGTATAAAGGTATTCGACACGAGGTCGAGCTTAAACCAGGCTCGAAGTACTGTGTCATGAAGCAGTGGCCACTGCCTCGTGAACAAGTACTTGCGATCGACAAGTTCTTTGCCGATCGTTTAGCTGCGGGCCATGTGAGGGAATCAACTCCCCCACATAGCTCTCCGACCTTCTGTGTGCGAAAAGTAACAGGAGGGTGGCGGATAGTGCACGCGTTCAACAAGTTGAATGCTGCAACGGTACCGGCTCAAACGCCGATACCGAGGAAGGACGTAATCATTGATGGTATGTCAAAGAGTACCATCTTTTCGTCCATGGATTTGATGGATGGCTTCTATCAAAATCCTTATGCGGGAACGGGATATACCCTATACCGCAGTTAGCACGCCTAGCGGCATGCTCTGGGAATGGCTAGTAATGCCACAAGGGCTTAGTAATGCCACAAGGGCTTAGTAATGCCACTGCCACTTTCAACAGATGTGTATCACATCTGTTGAGACCAGTACGAGAATTCGCACCGAGCAATTTCGATGACGTATTCATCCATAGTCGAGCTATGGATGGAAAGTCGGACGTTGAGGTTCACAGGTACCACGTCCGACAGGTTCTTACAATCATGCGAAAGCATCAATTGTATGCAAACCTCACGAAGTGTATATTTGCAGCAAGCGAAATACCACTTCTTGGGTGCATCGTTGGTAAGAACGGTGTACGTCCTGATCCCGAAAAGATCAAGGCGATCACCGACTGGCCTGTGCCGGTTGATGTCAAAGGTCTTCGAAAATTCCTTGGACTAGTGGCGTATTTGCACAAGTATTCACGCAATTTACGCCGAGATGACTGTACACCTCTCTCGTTTGTTGAAAAAGAACAAGAGTTGGTTATGAAATGCTGAATGTCAGCACTTATATGATGGTATCAAGCAGAGCTTGATACAATCCCCAGTCCTAGCAATTGCCGATCAGGACAGGCCATTTCATGTGGTCTGTGATGCCAGCGATTTCGCAATCGGCTGTGTATTAATGCATTACGATCTTGAAGGCGTTGAACGCGTCGTCTGCTATCAGTCGCGTCAGCTGCAACCAGCTGAGCGGAACTATCCAGTGCATGACAAGGAACTCCTTGCCATGAAGTATGCACTCGCGAAGTTCAGAGTCTATCTATTAGGAGATAGACCCTTCATTGTTTACACTGACCATGCGTCGTTACGCACGGCAGTGAACAGCCCGCACCTTTCACAACGAATGGCGCGGTGGTTGTCATTCTTTGCAGAATACAACTTTACGGTCGAGTACAAACCAGGACGACTTAATGTCGTCGCTGATGCACTCTCACGTCGTCCCGACTTTGAAACAGTCGCGAAACCCAACAGTGAGACAGTCACTGTTGCGGTTATGACGTCCTCAGTCCCATCTACAACGTTGTATGATGATGTGAGGCGGGCATACGCCCAAGATGGTGAGATTGTGAAGTTGTTGACACATCTCTCACAACCATCTCGAGAATCGTTGAAACGATTGTCGTCTGCGTATCGATCTGCATCAGATCGATACACTACTCATGACGGGTTTACTGTATTATACAGCCGTTTCTGGTGACACACCACGTGTTGTCATTCCAGATGTTACTGATCTGCGTTTGCGGATCATGTTCGAGTATCAAGATGCTCCTATAGGAGGACATCGTAGCCGGGAGAAAACACACCTCACGGTGAGTCGAGACTTTTACTGGCCTCGCTAGTATCAGTTTGTGCGAAATTATGTTCGCGCATGCGAAGTCTGTCAACGAGTGAAGTCGAGTCCTTCACTGCGTGCACCTTTACAGCCTCTACCAGTTCCGGCTAAGTGCTGGGAATCCATCTCAATGGATTTCGTCTTCGGATTACCCAAGGACGCACGCGGGAATACGGGTATTCTCGTATTTGTTGACAGATTCAGCAAAATGGTACACCTTGTGGCTGTACCAGAGTCAATCACGGCAAGTGGCTGTGCTTGTGTCTTTATTGACACCATCTTCCGACTTCATGGGTTGCCCCGTGATCTCGTATCAGACAGAAATCCACGCTTCACTGCTGATTTCTGGTGCTCCGTGTTCAAATCACTCGGAACGCGCTTGAAGATGCCGACATCTGATCATCCAGAGTCAGATGGTCAGACGGAACGATCCAATCGTGTCCTCGAAGAGATACGTCGAGGATACGTACACTCCTTTAAGAGTTGGAGTGAGTTTTTGCCAATGGTAGAGTTTGCCATTAACAACTCGGTGCATGCGTCCACGACACATACACCGTTTTACGTGAATGGCTTGCGCCATCCTCGTGTACCCACCTTACTCGGGTGTAACTCTGGTTTAAGGGGGGGAGGGACTCGCGCGAGCAAAAACCGATTTGGTTCACGCTCATCACGCTCTGACGAAGAAGTCATTGCGTTTGATGCCGATATCGATAACATCGATATTGAAGAAGATGATGCCAGTGAGAGTGCGGAAGCCCTCACTGAAGAAGATGATCCCAGTGAGAGTGCGGAAGCCCTTACTGAAGAAACGATTGATGTCGCTGCAGTGCACTCACAGCGCACTGAAGCTAACGAGTCATCAGATGAGTTCATACTGGCTCGTGAAACGGGAGTCCGTTTTGTGCAAGACTCCATCGCCGAAGCGGTGGATAAGCAAAAAAGAAAAACGCTGACAAGAATGGAAGGGTAAACACTCTTTTATTTAATAAAGGTGACTTAGTCGTACTGTCTACGGTTAATCTACCAAAGCATGTAGTGACTAACTTGGGTAGTAGTAAACTTCTACCCAAGTACATCGGCCCATTTCGTGTATTGCACCGCCTAGGCAATGCATACACGATCGAGTTGCCACGTAAGATGCGAACGCATCCCACGTGTTACGTTGGTCGGCTCAAGCCGTACCATCAGTACGCTGCTTCTTCCGATGAAGAACGCCCTTGCGCTCAAGCATCTCGCAGAGAGCCTTGTGCTCCCGATGGTGGGCATCGACAAGGGTCTGAAGAGCAGTTATCTCAGCCCGAGACCGATCAACAATCCCACGAGCTACCCTTAGCCCGTCACGAAGAGATGTCAGAGATCTCTCGTTCTCAAGCTGAGCAAAGGCAAACTCAGCTCGATGCTTCGAGGCAGTGTCCGCCATTTGGAGACGCCTATTCCGCTCATGTTCGAGATCTTCGCGTAACCCTTGCGTTACGCGATCAAAGAAGCTCTCGGGAACACACGGATCCCCGTGATCGTGTGGAGAGCGTCTTTCCTCCTCCTCCACCTCCAGTAGAGGACTCTCGCGGTGGACAGCGCTATCTAGTTGATCAGCTGTTGAAGCACCGCGATGTTAACGGGCGTCGGACGAGTTATCTCGTCCGGTGGCGTGGCTATCCCCCGTCCTGGGATTCTTGGGAGCCCCGCTCCCAACAATTAATTGACGTACTGAGTCTGGTCGAGCAGTACGACGCGGCACATCCTGTGCCGCAGAAGGACCGCCGGAGAAAGTCTTCCCGGCACGGTCGTAAAGGGATTTCAAGTTGTCAATCCCTCCGTACATCTCAGTAGAGATACGTACGCGCCACCACGGGCTGGTAAGGAGGTAAGCCTCCTTAGGTGCTCGTGCAGAGTTGTTCACACAACATGGGCACGAGTCTCCCCAAGAGAGGCAGGGTAATCCTTTCTCCCTTGACAGACGATGCAGCTTATAGCGTGCACCTGTCGGGGTTCGCTTTTCAAACTTATCACGAGCTTTGATAAGTTTGTCGTTCCAAGCGTCACGACCTACATCCTCAAGGTTATGGATGTAGGCGTTCCACGCCTGAAGTAGTGAGGGACCATCACGTTTGTGATTCCCACTGTACCATCGATGTCTAAAGAAAGCATCGATGAAGAATTCATTCTCAGCGCGATAGTTTTTCGCGCTGGGGTCAAGGTGATGGATCCTTGACGAATCGAACAATCGTGTTCGATAACGATCACTCGTCGTCGCCGACAAGTGATCCATGACGGATTTTGGAGGCATCCATGCCTTCTTCTCAGGAGCGAGACGCAACACATTGCGGTCCCGCTCTTCCTGCGACGTGCCGACAGAAGTACTGGCACCTCGCTGTGAAGTGGTGTCCATAGGAGAACCGACACCACTGCTAGCGCCCGAGTCTCGCGACCTCGAGCGCCTTCGCTTCGGCGATGGTTCATCTGATTCATCAGATGAACCAAAGATGCTACGACGCATAGCATCATCCATGCCACGCTTGGCAGTCGGCTTGGATTCGATCGCCGTCGATACGGATCCGTCTTCCGTATCAGGAGAGTATGAGACACCGAGCTCATACTCTGTGAAAACATGAGTGTCTTCATGACCAGCGCCTGCATCACCAAGTGACACAGGCTGAGTCGCTTCAGCAACCGATGAGACATCAGTCGCTGTGGTTTCTGCTTCGGCGGCCGCACAGAGACGTGCGGAAGCGCTCTCGGCGGCCTTGCTCGCGCATCGCATGGGCTTGTTAACCATGCGATGAATTGTTGGAAAGTGGACTCGGACCAACAAGTGCAAACCCTGTCCCAAATGATTTGGGACGAGTATCCATTTAGTCAATCAGTCACTAAAGTGACTGATGGTTAAGGGGGTGATGTAACGGGGTGAATCGTTACATAACAATTTATAAGAAATTGTTCATAGAATATAACTATAAGAGTTATATTCTCAGAATATTGTCATAAGGACAAATATTCTGTAGCACTTACGAGTAGTTCCTAATTGGTTAATATAGGCCATTATATCAACCAACGAAGGCGCGCCACGACAGACGCACGCAATGAGTGGTGAGCAGATAGTTGATATGCACATTTGTAATTAGACATAGTTAGATGAAGATAAATAGTGATTTATTGCAGACATTAACTATACTAAATACAGTTCTACTTTTTACTTTAACCAAGTACTCGCTTCTTCTTACCGTCTTCCTCTGCACGTACGAGTGTACGTGAAGTTCCGAGGCACCGCCTTATTCTGTTATCAGAATAAGTAGCTTGTACTGTCACCAGTACAAGCTTCAGGGTGCCCCGTTACATACCTGGTTAAAGTAAAAAGTAGAACTGTATTTAGCATAGTTAATGTCTGTTAATAAATCACTGTTGATCCTCATCTAACTATGTCTGATTACAAATGTGCATGTCAACTATCTGCTCACCACTCATTGCGTGCGTCTGTCGTGGCGCGTCTTCGTTGGTTGATATAATGGCCTATATCAACCAATTAGGAACTACTCGTAAGTGCTGCATAATATTTGTCCTTATGACAATATTCTGAGAATGTAACTCTTATAGTTATATTCTATTACCAATTTCTTATAAATTGTTATGTAACGGTTCACCCCGTTACAACGAGCACCAAGTCATCAAACGCATCCAAGAGGGAATCCTGGTGTGGAAAATCCTGTAGCAGCAACATTAGCTTGACAGGCACAGCGGACACTGCACGTTTCCATTCGTCCGTCATGCTTTGGAGTGAAGGAAATTTGTCCCGTATGTTCTCAGGCCAAGTCTTTCCCAACGATAGCCACATGTCCTGCCAGGTCCTGTAACGGGGCACCCTGAAGCTTGTACTGGTGACAGTACAAGCTACTTATTCTGATAACAGAATAAGGCGGTGCCTCGTAACTTCACGTACACTCGTACGTGCAGAGGAAGACGGTAAGAAGAAGCGAGTACTTGGTTAAAGTAAAAAGTAGAACTGTATTTATAATAGTTAATGTCTGCAATAAATCACTATTTATCTTCATCTAACTATGTCTAAATACAAATGTGCATATCAACTATCTGCTCACCACTCATTGCGTGCGTCTGTCGTGGCGCGTCTTCGTTGGTTGATATAATGGCCTATATCAACCAATTAGGAACTACTCGTAAGTGCTGCAGAATATTTGTCCTTATGACAATATTCTGAGAATGTAACTCTTATAGTTATATTCTATTACCAATTTCTTATAAATTGTTATGTAACGGTTCACCCCGTTACATCACCCCCCCTTTAACCATCAGTCACTTTAGTGACTGATTGACTGAATGGATACTCGTCCCAAATCATTTGGGACAGGGTTTGCACTTGTTGGTCCGAGTCCACTTTCCAACAATTCATCGCATGGTTAACAAGCCCATGCAATGCGCGAGCAAGGCCGCCGAGAGCGCTTCCGCACGTCTCTGTGCGGCCGCCGAAGCAGAAACCACAGCGACTGATGTCTCATCGGTTGCTGAAGCGACTCAGCCTGTGTCACTTGGTGATGCAGGCGCTGGTCATGAAGACACTCATGTTTTCACAGAGTATGAGCTCGGTGTCTCATACTCTCCTGATACGGAAGACGGATCCGTATCGACGGCGATCGAATCCAAGCCGACTGCCAAGCGTGGCATGGATGATGCTATGCGTCGTAGCATCTTTGGTTCATCTGATGAATCAGATGAACCATCGCCGAAGCGAAGGCGCTCGAGGTCGCGAGACTCGGGCGCTAGCAGTGATGTCGGTTCTCCTATTGACACCACTTCGCAACGAGGTACCAGTACTTCTGTCGGCACGTCGCAGGAAGAGCGGGACCGCAATGTGTTGCGTCTCGCTCCTGAGAAGAAGGCATGGATGCCTCCAAAATCCGTCATGGATCACTTGTCGGCGACGACGAGTGATCGTTATCGAACACGATTGTTCGATTCGTCAAGGATCCATCACCTTGACCCCAGCGCGAAAAACTATCGCGCTGAGAATGAATTCTTCATCGATGCTTTCTTTAGACATCGATGGTACAGTGGGAATCACAAACGTGATGGTCCCTCACTACTTCAGGCGTGGAACGCCTACATCCATAACCTTGAGGATGTAGGTCGTGACGCTTGGAACGACAAACTTATCAAAGCTCGTGATAAGTTTGAAAAGCGAACCCCGACAGGTGCACGCTATAAGCTGCATCGTCTGTCTAAGGAGAAAGGGTTACCTCGTCTTTCCTGGGGAGACTCGTGCCCATGTTGTGTGAACAACTCTGCACGAGTACCTAAGGAGGCTTACCTCCTTACTAGCCCGTGGTGGCGCGTACGTATCTCTACTGAGATGTACGAAGGTATTGACAACCTGAAATCCCTTTAAGACCGTGCCGGGAAGACTTTCTCCGGCGGTCCTTCTGCGGCACAGGATGTGCCGCGTCGTACTGCTCGACCAGACCCAGTACGTCAGCCATCAGTTGGGGCTCCCAAGTATCCCAGGACGGGGGATAACCACGCCACCGGACGAGATAACTCGTCCGACGCCCGTTCACATCGCGGTGCTTCAACAGCTGATCAACTAGATAGCGCTGTCCACCGCGAGAGTCCTCTACTGGAGGTGGAGGAGGAGGAAAGACGCTCTCCACACGATCACGGGGATCCGTGTGTTCCCGAGAGCTTCTTTGATCGCGTAACGCAAGGGTTACGCAACGATCTCGAACATGAGCGGAATAGGCGTCTCCAAATGGCGGACACTGCCTCGAAGCATCGAGCTGAGTTTGCCTTTGCTCAGCTTGAGAACGAGAGAGCTTTGACATCTCTTCGTGACGAGCTAAGGGTAGCTCGTGGGATTGTTGATCGGTCTCGGGATGAGATAACTGCTCTTCAGACCCTTGTCGATGCCCACCATCGGGAGCACAAGGCTCTCTGCGAGATGCTTGAGCGCAAGGGCGTTCTTCATTGGAAGAAGCAGCGTACTGATGGTACGGCTTAAGCCGACCAACGTAACACGTGGGATGCGTTCGCATCTTACGTGGCAACTCGATCGTGTATGCATTGCCTAGGCGGTGCAATACACGAAATGGGCCGATGTACTTGGGTAGAAGTTTACTACTACCCAAGTTAGTCACTACATGCTTTGGTAGATTAACCGTAGACAGTACGACTAAGTCACCTTTATTAAATAAAAGAGTGTTTACCCTTCCATTCTTGTCAGCGTTTTGCTTTTGCTTATCCACCGCTTCGGCGATGGAGTCTTGCAAAAAACGGACTCCCGTTTCACGAGCCAGTATGAACTCATCTGATGACTCGTTAGCTTCAGTGCACTGCGAGTGCACTGCAGCAACATCAATCGTTTCTTCAGTGAGGGCTTCCGCACTCTCACTGGCATCATCTTCTTCGATATCGATGTTATCGATATCGGCATCAAACGCAATGACCTCTTCGTCAGAGCGTGATGAGCTTGAACCAATTCTGTTTTTAATCGCGCGAGTCCCCCCCCTTAAACCAGAGTTACACCCGAGTAAGGTGGGTACACGAGGATGGCGCAAGCCATTCACGTAAAACGGTGTATGTGTCGTGGACGCATGCACCGAGTTGTTAATGGCAAACTCTACCATTGGCAAAAACTCACTCCAACTCTTAAAGGAGTGTACGTATCCTCGACGTATCTCTTCGAGGACACGATTGGATCGTTCCGTCTGACCATCTGACTCTGGATGATCAGATGTCGGCATCTTCAAGCGCGTTCCGAGTGATTTGAACACGGAGCGCCAGAAATCAGCAGTGAAGCGTGGATTTCTGTCTGATACGAGATCACGGGGCAACCCATGAAGTCGGAAGATGGTGTCAATAAAGACACAAGCACAGCCACTTGCTGTGATTGACTCTGGTACAGCCACAAGGTGTACCATTTTGCTGAATCTGGCAACAAAGACGAGAACACCAGTATTCCCGCGTGCGTCCTTGGGTAACCCGAAGACGAAATCCATTGAGATGGATTCCCAGCACTTAGCCGGAACTGGTAGAGGCTGTAAAGGTGCACGCAGTGAAGGACTCGACTTCACTCGTTGACAGACTTCGCATGCGCGAACATACTTTCGCACAAACTGATACTAGCGAGGCCAGTAAAAGTCTCGACTCACCGTGAGGTGTGTTTTCTCCCGGCTACGATGTCCTCCTATAGGAGCATCTTGATACTCGAACATGATCCGCAAACGCAGATCAGTAACATCTGGAATGACAACACGTGGTGTGTCACCAGAAACGGCTGTATAATACAGTAAACCCGTCATGAGTAGTGTATCGATCTGATGCAGATCGATACGCAGACGACAATCGTTTCAACGATTCTCGAGATGGCTGTAAGAGATGTGTCAACAACTTCACAATCTCACCATCTTGGGCGTATGCCCGCCTCACATCATCATACAACGTTGTAGATGGGACTGAGGACGTCATAACCGCAACAGTGGCTGTCTCACTGTTGGGTTTCGCGACTGTTTCAAAGTCGGGACGACGTGAGAGTGCATCAGCGACGACATTAAGTCGTCCTGGTTTGTACTCGACCGTAAAGTTGTATTCTGCAAAGAATGACAACCACCGCGCCATTTGTTGTGAAAGGTGCGGGCTGTTCACTGCCGTGCGTAACGACGCATGGTCAGTGTAAACAATGAAGGGTCTATCTCCTAATAGATAGACTCTGAACTTCGCGAGTGCATACTTCATGGCAAGGAGTTCCTTGTCATGCACTGGATAGTTCCGCTCAGCTGGTTGCAGCTGACGCGACTGATAGCAGACGACGCGTTCAACGCCTTCAAGATCGTACTGCATTAGTGCACAACCGATTGCGAAAGCGCTGGCATCACAGACCACATGAAATGGCCTGTACTGATCGGCTATTGCTAGGACTGGATATTGTATCAAGCTCTGCTTGATACCATCAAAGGAGCGCTGACATTCAGCGTTTCATTACCACCTCTTGTTCTTTTTCAACAAACTAGAGAGGTGTACAATCATCTCGGCGTAAATTGCGTGAATACTTGTGCAAATACGCCGCTAGGCCATTGAATTTTCGAAGACCTTTGACATCAACCGGCACAGGACAGTCGGTGATCGCCTTGATCTTTTCGGGATCAGGACGTACACCGTTCTTACCAACGATGCACCCAAGAAGTGGTATTTCGCTTTCTGCAAATATACACTTCTTGAAGTTGGCATACAATTGATGCTTTCGCATGATTGTAAGAACCTGTCGGACGTGGTACCTGTGAACCTCAACGTCCGACTTTCCATCCATAGCTCGACTATGGATGAATACGTCATCGAAATTGCTCGGTGCGAATTCTCGTACTGGTCTCAACAGATGTGATACACATCTGTTGAAAGTGGCAGTGGCATTACTAAGCCCTTGTGGCATTACTAGCCATTCCCAGAGCATGCCGCTAGGCGTGCTAACTGCGGTATAGGGTATATCCCGTTCCCGCATAAGGATTTTGATAGAAGCCATCCATCAAATCCATGGACGAAAAGATGGTACTCTTTGACATACCATCAATGATTACGTCCTTCCTCGGTATCGGCGTTTGAGCCGGTACCGTTGCAGCGTTCAATTTGTCGAACGCGTGCACTATCCGCCACCCTCCTGTTACTTTTCGCACACAGAAGGTCGGAGAGCTATGTGGGGAAGTTGATTCCCTCACATGGCCCGCAGCTAAACGATCGGCAAAGAGCTTGTTGATCGCAAGTACTTGTTCACGAGGCAGTGGCCACTGCTTCATGACACAGTACTTCGAGCCTGGTTTAAGCTCGACCTCGTGTCGAATACCTTTATCCTTTGGTAATTCGCACGGAACAGTTTCAGGGAATACATCCTTGAATTCAACCAAATCTTCATAGAGAGGATTTGTCTTGAGCGATTCCCACGATTGGGAGTCATATCGCTCAACTCGTGTCTTTTCATCTAGGACACTCTCGTCCATCGATGAACTACTGAGAACTCTCTCGCTCTCAGTAAGCATTGTTGCTGACCTTATGTCGGCTACACACTCGTCGTCAGCGACGAGTACGCAGATCTGCTTGACTTTGCCACTACGCAGATCACGCAAGGACCTTTTATGTTCGAGCGTTGGCAACTGAGTGATCTCCGAAGTCAACTTCGGAGGCGCAATCAGATCAAGTGTATAATCGCCTACACTTGATCCATCATTGACCAGGACATTCAATATCTCTGTCATTTCCTGGGGACTTATTCCCTCAGGCCTCGAAGGACTTATTCCTTCGGCTTCCCGGGGACTTATTCCCGCGGGTTTCGGGGAACCTATTTCCGCCGTATTTATAATATCGGGACTTATTCCCTTTACTTCCTCTAGCTGGGGTTGCGCAACCACAGCGAGATCCTCTACGAAAGACTCTCCAGTCGATCTAGGATTATCGTTTCGTTTAACCTGAGCGATCGATTGTTTCTCTTCTAGATGTTCCCCGCTAGGGATACATCTTTGTCCCAGTCCACCCGACTTATTCGAGTGGTGGACCTTCGGCGCAGCCTGTGTTTCCTCACAGCCGCCGGAACTTTGCTCCGAAGTGTAACTGTTTGTTACACTAAGGTTTTGTGCAGTCGTACTAACGACCGTACCACAAGTGAGGCCATCGTACTCACTCGTAGTACATCCACACGCTTGTGGACGCTCCAAAACGTTCATCAGATGGCCATCTGATGAACAAGCGGCAGGCATCGTTACTATTCGATGTTGCCAGTTTACCCGTGGTTCGTACCTTCTGAGCCACGGTATTCCAAGGATGACATCAAATTTGTCATCCAAATCCAATACGATAAAGTCATCGTCATATTGGGTATCTTCTAGCGTATAGTGGATCTTCACTATACGCTTCATGACGGTCACGGACGCGCCTGTCGCAAGACGTACCGTCATCCTCGTAGGAGGTGTGTCACATTCACCAAACTTAAAGTGACCATCTTCTAGCGATTGGCGTCGCACAAAATTGCTAGACGCCCCACAATCGACTAGAGCTCGAAGGGAAAACTTATTTGTCACTTCGAGTTTCAAGGTAATGAGTGAGATCTCATTACCTAGAGCAGCAACGCACAACGTTTGTGTGTTGGGAACAACCTTCATCAAGAGGCCTGCAAATTCTCTTGACGTTGCTGGACCAGTAGGGTGCTCCGCACCTACTGATCCTGTCCGTTTTTTGACGGTCCATCCCGTTGTTGCGTCTTTGCACCAACTGCGGACCCTCGTCCCTGCCCCTTTCTCATGAGTGGACGGTCACTACGCCCAGTGTCGCGAGACACTGGACGAGGAGCACTACACTCGTAAGCGTAGTGTCCTGTCTTCTGACATCTGTTGCATTTCTGCAACTTCTTGTAGTCTGTAGAGCGAGCCTTCTCGCTCTCTACATAACAGAGTTCCATCGGCTCTGGACCTCCGCTGTCATATCGTCTCGGTTGACGATACGATGTCGAGCTGGCGCGAGCCTGTCTCAGACTGAAGTCTTCGTGTTCCGCAATGGAAATGGCTTGTTCTAGTGAATCTAGTTCAAGCCGGAACAGGTGAGTCTCGACGGGACCATCCGCAAGACCCTGCATGAACACCGAAACCAACGTGTGTTCATCAACCGGGTTGGAACTTATACAACTCGTGAGATGTCGTATATGTTGAGCGTAAGCGTGCACATCACGCTTACCTTGCTTGAGCTTCAAGAGTTCAGTTCGAGCTCTGAACTCAGCTCTAGGCGGTTCAAACGTTTGTCTGAGCCGCGACTTGAAGACTTTCAACGACCCAAACGCAAATGGGTCGTGCAACTTGAGTCCCAAAGCCCAAGTCTTGGCACGTTCTGCCAGATTTGATTGGGCAAATGCAACTTGCATTTCCCCATCGTCGATGCGACGCGCCCTTATGGCGTCGTCTAATTCAACAAACCATCTCAAGAGGGAGTCCTCTTCGACTCCCCTATACTTGGAGATGTCAATCTTCAAGGTTTCGGGTCGACGCGAGTGCATCGACCCACCAGCAGCAGCCTGCTGCTGTCTCAACAGTTCAAACTGTTGAGCACCCTGTTCTCTCAACAACTCTGCTTGTTGAGAACCTTGTTGGTGAAGCAAGGCTACTTTCTCGCGTTCAGCGTCACATTCATTTTGAATGAACTTGGCGATAGTAGCATGTTGAGCATCTCTATTGAGAGCCTCTAGCATGACGCTAACAGCATGGATGCCCATGGCCGAACCCATCCGTCCAACCGCATCCCATTCGACATCGCTCAAATGGGAGTAGCCGTCACACGTAGCGTGAAAGCTTTGGTCATCTTCATCATCCAACATATTCATGTTGGATGTGAACGCGGTCCTTGGACGGACTACGAAGTGCTACCAGGTGTAACGGGGCACCCTGAAGCTTGTACTGGTGACAGTACAAGCTACTTATTCTGATGACAGAATAAGGCGGTGCCTAGGAACTTCACGTACACTGGTACGTGCAGAGGAAGACGGTAAGGAGAAGCGAGTACTTGGTTAAAGTAAAAAGTAGAACTGTATTTATAATAGTTAATGTCTGTAATAAACCCCCTGTTTATCTTCATCTAACTATGTCTAAATACAAATGTGTAAATCAACTATCTGCTCACCACTCATTGCGTGCGTCTGTCGTGGCGCGTCTTCGTTGGTTGATATAATGGCCTATATCAACCAATTAGGAACTACTCGTAAGTGCTGCAGAATATTTGTCCTTATGACAATATTCTGAGAATATAACTCTTATAGTTATATTCTATGAACAATTTCTTATAAATTGTTATGTAACGATTCACCCCGTTACATCACCCCCCCTTAACCATCAGTCACTTTAGTGACTGATTGACTAAATGGATACTCGTCCCAAATCATTTGGGACAGGGTTTGCACTTGTTGGTCCGAGTCCACTTTCCAACAATTCATCGCATGGTTAACAAGCCCATGCGATGCGCGAGCAAGGCCGCCGAGAGCGCTTCCGCACGTCTCTGTGCGGCCGCCGAAGCAGAAACCACAGCGACTGATGTCTCATCGGTTGCTGAAGCGACTCAGCCTGTGTCACTTGGTGATGCAGGCGCTGGTCATGAAGACACTCATGTTTTCACAGAGTATGAGCTCGGTGTCTCATACTCTCCTGATACGGAAGACGGATCCGTATCGACGGCGATCGAATCCAAGCCGACTGCCAAGCGTGGCATGGATGATGCTATGCGTCGTAGCATCTTTGGTTCATCTGATGAATCAGATGAACCATCGCCGAAGCGAAGGCGCTCGAGGTCGCGAGACTCGGGCGCTAGCAGTGATGTCGGTTCTCCTATGGACACCACTTTGCAGCGAGATACCAGTACTTCTGTCGGCACGTCGCAGGAAGAGCGGGACCGCAACGTGTTGCGTCTCGCTCCTGAAAAGAAAGCATGGATGCCTCCAAAATCCGTCATGGATCACTTGTCGGCGACGACGAGTGATCGTTATCGAACACGATTGCTCAATTCATCAAGGATCCATCACCTTGACCCCAGCGCGAAAGACTATCACACTGAGAATGATTTCTTCATCGATGCTTTCTTTGAACATCGATGGTACAGTGGGAATCACAAACGTGATGGTCCCTCATTGCTTCAAGCGTGGAACGCCTACATCCATAACTTTGAGGATGTAGGTCGTGACGCTTGGAACGACAAACTTATCAAAGCTCGTGATAAGTTTGAAAAGCGAACCCCGACAGGTGCACGCTATAAGCTGCATCGTCTGTCAAGGGAGAAGGAATTACCCTGCCTCTCTTGGAGAGACTCGTGCCCATGTTGTGTGAACAACTCTGCACGAGCACCTGATGAGGCTTACCTCCTTACCAGCCCGTGGTGGCGCGTACGTATCTCTACTGAGATGTACGAAGGTATTGACAACCTGAAATCCCTTTAAGACCGTGCCGGGAAGACTTTCTCCGGCGGTCCTTCTGCGGCACAGGATGTGCCGCGTCGTACTGCTCGACCAGACCCAGTACGTCAGCCATCAGTTGGGGCTCCCAAGTATCCCAGGACGGGGGATAACCACGCCACCGGACGAGATAACTCGTCCGACACCCGTTCACATCGCGGTGCTTCAACAGCTGATCAACTAGATAGCGCTGTCCACCGCGAGAGTCCTCTAATGGAGGTGGAGGAGGAGGAAAGACGCTCTCCACACGATCACGGGGATCCGTGTGTTCCCGAGAGCTTCTTTGATCGCGTAACGCAAGGGTTACGCAACGATCTCGAACATGAGCGGAATAGGCGTCTCCAAATGGCGGACACAGCCTCGAAGCATCGAGCTGAGTTTGCCTTTGCTCAGCTTGAGAACGAGAGATCTCTGACATCTCTTCGTGACGGGCTAAGGGTAGCTCGTGGGATTGCTGATCGGTCTCGGGATGAGATAACTGCTCTTCAGACCCTTGTCGATGCCCACCATCGGGAGCACAAGGCTCTCTGCGAGATGCTTGAGCGCAAGGGCGTTCTTCATCGGAAGAAGCAGCGTACTGATGGTACGGCTTGAGCCGACCAACGTAACACGTGGGATGCGTTCGCATCTTACGTGGCAACTCGATCGTGTATGCATTGCCTAGGCGGTGCAATACACGAAATGGGCCGATGTACTTGGGTAGAAGTTTACTACTACCCAAGTTAGTCACTACATGCTTTGGTAGATTAACCGTAGACAGTACGACTAAGTCACCTTTATTAAATAAAAGAGTGTTTACCCTTCCATTCTTGTCAGCGTTTTTCTTTTGCTTATCCACCGCTTCGGCGATGGAGTCTTGCACAAAACGGACTCCCGTTTCACGAGCCAGTATGAACTCATCTGATGACTCGTTAGCTTCAGTGCGCTGTGAGTGCACTGCAGCGACATCAATCGTTTCTTCAGTAAGGGCTTCCGCACTCTCACTGGGATCATCTTCTTCAGTGAGGGCTTCCGCACTCTCACTGGCATCATCTTCTTCAATATCGATGTTATCGATATCGGCATCAAACGCAATGACTTCTTCGTCAGAGCGTGATGAGCGTGAACCAAATCGGTTTTTGCTCGCGCGAGTCCCTCCCCCCCTTAAACCAGAGTTACACCCGAGTAAGGTGGGTACACGAGGATGGCGCAAGCCATTCACGTAAAACGGTGTATGTGTCGTGGACGCATGCACCGAGTTGTTAATGGCAAACTCTACCATTGGCAAAAACTCACTCCAACTCTTAAAGGAGTGTACGTATCCTCGACGTATCTCTTCGAGGACACGATTGGATCGTTCCGTCTGACCATCTGACTCTGGATGATCAGATGTCGGCATCTTCAAGCGCGTTCCGAGTGATTTGAACGCGGAGCACCAGAAATCAGCAGTGAAGCGTGGATTTCTGTCTGATACGAGATCACGGGGCAACCCATGAAGTCGGAAGATGGTGTCAATAAAGACACAAGCACAGCCACTTGCTGTGATTGACTCTGGTACAGCCACAAGGTGTACCATTTTGCTGAATCTGTCAACAAATACGAGAATACCCGTATTCCCGCGTGCGTCCTTGGGTAATCCGAAGACGAAATCCATTGAGATGGATTCCCAGCACTTAGCCGGAACTGGTAGAGGCTGTAAAGGTGCACGCAGTGAAGGACTCGACTTCACTCGTTGACAGACTTCGCATGCGCGAACATAATTTCGCACAAACTGATACTAGCGAGGCCAGTAAAAGTCTCGACTCACCGTGAGGTGTGTTTTCTCCCGGCTACGATGTCCTCCTATAGGAGCATCTTGATACTCGAACATGATCCGCAAACGCAGATCAGTAACATCTGGAATGACAACACGTGGTGTGTCACCAGAAACGGCTGTATAATACAGTAAACCCGTCATGAGTAGTGTATCGATCTGATGCAGATCGATACGCAGACGACAATCGTTTCAACGATTCTCGAGATGGTTGTGAGAGATGTGTCAACAACTTCACAATATCACCATCTTGGGCGTATGCCCGCCTCACATCATCATACAACGTTGTAGATGGGACTGAGGACGTCATAACCGCAACAGTGACTGTCTCACTGTTGGGTTTCGCGACTGTTTCAAAGTCGGGACGACGTGAGAGTGCATCAGCGACGACATTAAGTCGTCCTGGTTTGTACTCGACCGTAAAGTTGTATTCTGCAAAGAATGACAACCACCGCGCCATTTGTTGTGAAAGGTGCGGGCTGTTCACTGCCGTGCGTAACGACGCATGGTCAGTGTAAACAATGAAGGGTCTATCTCCTAATAGATAGACTCTGAACTTCGCGAGTGCATACTTCATGGCAAGGAGTTCCTTGTCATGCACTGGATAGTTCCGCTCAGCTGGTTGCAGCTGACGCGACTGATAGCAGACGACGCGTTCAACGCCTTCAAGATCGTAATGCATTAATGCACAGCCGATTGCGAAATCGCTGCCATCACAGACCACATGAAATGGCCTGTCCTGATCGGCAATTGCTAGGACTGGGGATTGTATCAAGCTCTGCTTGATACCATCATATAAGTGCTGACATTCAGCATTTCATAACCAACTCTTGTTCTTTTTCAACAAACGAGAGAGGTGTACAGTCATCTCGGCGTAATTGCGTGAATACTTGTGCAAATACGCCACTAGTCCAAGGAATTTTCGAAGACCTTTGACATCAACCGGCACAGGCCAGTCGGTGATCGCCTTGATCTTTTCGGGATCAGGACGTACACCGTTCTTACCAACGATGCACCCAAGAAGTGGTATTTCGCTTGCTGCAAATATACACTTCGTGAGGTTTGCATACAATTGATGCTTTCGCATGATTGTAAGAACCTGTCGGACGTGGTACCTGTGAACCTCAACGTCCGACTTTCCATCCATAGCTCGACTATGGATGAATACGTCATCGAAATTGCTCGGTGCGAATTCTCGTACTGGTCTCAACAGATGTGATACACATCTGTTGAAAGTGGCAGTGGCATTACTAAGCCCTTGTGGCATTACTAGCCATTCCCAGAGCATGCCGCTAGGCGTGCTAACTGCGGTATAGGGTATATCCCGTTCCCGCATAAGGATTTTGATAGAAGCCATCCATCAAATCCATGGACGAAAAGATGGTACTCTTTGACATACCATCAATGATTACGTCCTTCCTCGGTATCGGCGTTTGAGCCGGTACCGTTGCAGCATTCAACTTGTTGAACGCGTGCACTATCCGCCACCCTCCTGTTACTTTTCGCACACAGAAGGTCGGAGAGCTATGTGGGGAAGTTGATTCCCTCACATGGCCCGCAGCTAAACGATCGGCAAAGAACTTGTCGATCGCAAGTACTTGTTCACGAGGCAGTGGCCACTGCTTCATGACACAGTACTTCGAGCCTGGTTTAAGCTCGACCTCGTGTCGAATACCTTTATACTTCGGTAACTCGCACGGAACAGTTTCAGGGAATACATCCTTGAATTCAACCAAATCTTCATAGAGAGGATTTGTCTTGAGCGATTCCCACGATTGGGAGTCATATCGCTCAACTCGTGTCTTTTCATCTAGGACACTCTCGTCCATCGATGAACTACTGAGAACTCTCTCGCTCTCAGTAAGCATTGTTGCTGACCTTATGTCGGCTACACACTCGTCGTCAGCGACGAGTATGCAGATCTGCTTGACTTTGCCACTACGCAGATCACGCAAGAACCTTTTATGTTCGAGCGTTGGCAACTGAGTGATCTCCGAAGTCAACTTCGGAGGCGCAATCAGATCAAGTGTATAAGGCCTACGCTTGATCCATCATTGACTAGGACATTTAATGTCTCTGTCATTTCCTGTGGACTTATTCCCTCAGGCCTCGAAGGACTTATTCCTCCGGCTTCCCGGGGACTTATTCCTTCGGGTTTCGGGGAACCTATTTCCGCCGTATTTATAATATCGGGACTTATTCCCTTAACTTCCTCTAGCTGGGGTTGCGCAACCACAGCGAGATCCTCTACGAAAGACTCTCCAGTCGATCTAGGATTATCGTTTCGTTTAACCTGAGCGATCGATTGTTTCTCTTCTAGATGTTCCCCGCTAGGGATACGTCTTTGTCCCAGTCCACCCGACTTATTCGAGTGGTGGACCTTCGGCGCAGCCTGTGTTTCCTCACAGCCGCCGGAACTTTGCTCCGAAGTGTAACCGTTTGTTACACTAAGGTTTTGTGCAGTCGTACTAACGACCGTACCACAAGTGAGGCCATCGTACTCACTCGTAGTACATCCACACGCTTGTGGACGCTCCAAAACGTTCATCAGATGGCCATCTGATGAACAAGCGGCAGGCATCGTTACTATTCGATGTTGCCAGTTTACTCGTGGTTCGTACCTTCTGAGCCACGGTATTCCAAGGATGACATCAAATTTGTCATCCAAATCCAATACGATAAAGTCATCGTCATATTGGGTATCTTCTAGCGTATAGTGGATCTTCACTATACGCTTCATGACGGTCACGGACGCGCCTGTCGCAAGACGTACCGTCATCCTCGTAGGAGGTGTGTCACATTCACTGAACTTAAAGTGACCATCTTCTAGCGATTGGCGTCGCACAAAATTGTTGGACGCCCCACAATCGACTAGAGCTCGAAGGGAAAACTTATTTGTCACTTCGAGTTTCAATGTAATGAGTGAGATCTCATTACCTAGAGCAGCAACGCACAACGTTTGTGTGTTGGGAGCAACCTTCATCAAGAGGCCTGCAAATTCTCTTGACGTTGATGGACCAGTAGGGTTCTCCGCACCTACTGATCCTGTCCTTTTTTTGACGGTCCATCCCGTTGTTGCGTCTTTGCACCAACTGCGGACCCTCGTCCCTGCCCCTTTCTCATGGGTGGACGGTCATTACGCCCAGTGTTGCGAGACAATGGACGAGGGGCACTACACTCGTAAGCGTAGTGTCCTGGCTTCTGACATCTGTTGCATTTCTGCAACTTCTTGTAGTCTGTAGAGCGAGCCTTCTCGCTCTCTACATATCAGAGTTCCATCGGCTCTGGACCTCCGCTGTCATATCGTCTCGGTTGACGATATGATGTCGAGCTGGCGCGAGCCTGTCTCAGACTGAAGTCTTCCTGCTCCGCAATGGAAATGGCTTGTTCTAGTGAATCTAGTTCAAGTCGGAACAGGTGAGTCTTGACGGGACCATCCGCAAGACCCTGCATGAACACCGAAACCAACGTGTGTTCATCAACCGGGTTGGAGCTTATACAACTCGTGAGATGTCGTATATGTTGCGCGTAAGCGTGCACATCACGCTTACCTTGCTTGAGCTTCAAGAGTTCGGTTCGAGCTCTGAAATCAGCTCTAGGCGGTTCAAACGTTTGTCTGAGCCGCGACTTGAAGACTTCCAACGACCCAAACGCATATGGGTCGTGCAACTTGAGCCCCAAAGCCCAAGTCTTGGCACGTTCTGCCAGATTTGATTGGGCAAATGAAACTTGCATATCCCCATCGTCGATGCGACGCGCCCTTATGGCGTCATCCAATTCGACGAACCATCTCAAGAGGGAGTCCTCTTCGACTCCCCTATACTTGGAGATGTCAATCTTCAAGGTTTCGGGTCGACGCGAGTGCATCGACCCACCAGCAGCAGCCTGCTGCTGTCTCAACAGTTCAAACTGTTGAGCACCCTGTTCTCTCAACAACTCTGCTTGTTGAGAACCTTGTTGGTGAAGCAAGGCTACTTTCTCGCGTTTCTGCGTCAAGTTCATTTTGAATGAACTTGGCGATAGTAGCATGTTGGGCATCTCTATTGAGAGCCTCTAGCATGACACTAACAGCATGGATGCCCATGGTTGAACCCATCTACTAAACCGCATCCCATTCGATATTGCTCAAATGAGAGTAGCCGCCACGCGTAGCGTGAAAGCTTTAGTCATCTTCATCATCTAACATAATCATGTTAGATGTGAACGTGGTCCTTGGACGGACTACGAAGTGCTACCAGGTGTAACGGGGCACCCTCAAGCTTGTACTGATAACAGTACAAGCTACTTATTCTGATGACAGAATAAGGCGGTGCCTAGGAACTTCACGTACACTGGTACGTGCAGAGGAAGACGATAAGGAGAAGCGAGTACTTAGTTAAAGTAAAAAGTAGAACTGTATTTAGTATAGTTAATGTCTGCAATAAATCACTATTTATCTTCATCTAACTATGTCTAAATACAAATGTGTAAATCAGTTATCTGCTCACCACTAATTGCGTGCGTCTGTCGTGGCGTGTCTTCGTTGGTTGATATAATGGCCTACATTAACCAATTAGGAACTACTCGTAAGTGCTACAATATATTTGTCCTTATGACAATATTCTGAGAATACAACTCTTATAGTTATATTCTATTAGCAATTTCTTATAAATTGTTATGTAACGATTCACCCCGTTACAGTCACGATGTAGCTACAGACGATCCGAATGTCACAGACAGAAGGTACGTTAAAGCTGGAGATTTCAGGATGGGAAAAATCGTTGTGTGCGATCGCTGTTTGCGGTACATGGTAGTAATCACGTATCTATTCAGCTGCAGTTGTCGCAGGGTTGAAGTGGTCTGGCTTCATTTTCGGATTCAGTGCTCCCCCCGAGACGGATTGTCCTCTTTAAAGTCATAACCTGCGACAAGTTGCTAAGCTGGCGCTTACTATGCTTCATCTGCAGCTGTTGGATAAGACGTTATTGCTGGAAAGGAGGACATAACTGTAAAGAAGGAGATTGATGCGAAAGTTGGATAGAATGATAGATAACAATGTTAATTGATGGTCATTTGCAAGATAGTTGGTGGGTAAAAACTACTTGAGCTACAAGTAATGGATGCATTTAAGAACATCATTTTACTCGAGACGAAGGTGTTTATGGTATTGTCATGCAGACACGACGAGGAGTATGTGGCACGTCCATCTGGGTCGCAGACGGCTGTGATGACAAGGCCGCACTTACGGATTTCCCAGAATTGATAATTTTGCGCGTACTGAAAAACGCACCTGTGTTGCTGTTTCTCATAGGATTGGAGTTCGGCCAGGAAGCCAGGAGTGTGGCCACGAATTGCTCTGGTCTCTTCATTTTGAGCTTTGCATGAGCAAGTGAGTATGCCGTATTAGTGAATTGAGTACGTGGGTTTTACTTCCAACGAAATTGGGCATATTTCTGAGCTTCTTTTGACAACGAATCAGAATGATCCAGCCGAATAAAAAAGAACCCAGTCGCTTAGCATTTGCCAAATTAAATCGAACTGTAGGTGAGTCGGTTGTTATAGCAGTACTGTAACGGGGCACCCTGAAGCTTGTACTGGTGACAGTACAAGCTACTTATTCTGATAACAGAATCAGGCGGTGCCTCGTAACTTCACGTACACTCGTACGTGCAGAGGAAGACGGTAAGAAGAAGCGAGTACTCGGTTAGAGTAAAAAGTAGAACTGTATTTATAATAGTTAATGTCTGCAATAAATCACTATTTATCTTCATCTAACTATGTCTAAATACAAATGTGTAAATCAGTTATCTGCTCACCACTCATTGCGTGCGTCTGTCGTGGCGCGTCTTCGTTGGTTGATATAATGGCCTATATCAACCAATTAGGAACTACTTGGAAGTGCTACAGAATATTGTCCTTATGACAATATTCTGAGAATATAACTCTTATAGTTATATTCTATTAACAATTTCTTATAAATTGTTATGTAACGATTCACCCCGTTACATCACCCCCCTTAACCATCAGTCACTTTAGTGACTGATTGACTAAATGGATACTCGTCCCAAATCATTTGGGACGGGGTTTGCACTTGTTGGTCCGCGTCCACTTTCCAACATCTCATCGCATGGTAAACAAGCCCATGCGATGCGCGAGCAAGGCCGCCGAGAGCGCGTCTGCACGTCTCTGTGCGGACGCCGAAGCAGAAACTACAGCAACTGATGTCCCATCGGTTGCTGAATCGACTCAGCCTGTATCACCTGGTGATGCAGGCGCTGGTCATGAAGACACTCGTGTCTTCACAGAGTACGAGCTCGGTGTCTCGTACTCTCCTGATACGGATGACGGATCCGTATCGACGGCAATTGAATCCAAGCCGCCTGCCAAGCGTGGCATGGACGATGCTTTGCGTCGCAGCATCTTTGGTTCATCTGATGAGTCAGATGAACCATTGCCGAAGCGAAGGCGCTCGAGGTCGCGAGACTCGGGCGCTAATAGTGGTGTCGTTTCTCCAATGGACACCACTTCACAGCGAGGTGCCAGTACTTCTGTCGGCACGTCGCAGGAAGAGCGGGACCGCAATGTGTTGCGTCTCGCTCCAGAAAAGAAGGCATGGATGCCTCCTAAATCCGTCATGGATCACTTGTCGGCGACGACGAGTGATCGTTATCGAACACGATTGCTCAATTCATCAAGGATCTATCACCTTGACCCCAGCGCGAAAGACTATCACACTGAGAATGATTTCTTCATCGATGCTTTCTTTGAACATCGATGGTACAGTGGGAATCACAAACGTGATGGTCCCTCATTGCTTCAAGCGTGGAACGCCTACATCCATAACTTTGAGGATGTAGGTCGTGACGCTTGGAACGACAAACTTATCAAAGCTCGTGATAAGTTTGAAAAGCGAACCCCGACAGGTGCACGCTACAAGCTGCATCGTCTGTCAAGGGAGAAAGGATTACCCTGCCTCTCTTGGGGAGACTCGTGCCCATGTTGTGTGAACAACTCTGCACGAGCACCTAATGAGGCTTACCTCCTTACCAGCCCGTGGTGGCGCGTACGTGTCTCTACTGAGATGTACGAAGGGATTGACAACCTGAAATCCCTTTACGACCGTGCCGGGAAGACTTTCTCCGGCGGTCCTTCTGCGGCACAGGATGTGTCGCGTCGTACTGCTCGACCAGACCCAGTACGTCAACCATCAATTGGGAGCGGGGCTCCCAAGAATCCCAGGACGGGGGATAGCCGCGCCACCGGACGAGGTAACTCGTCCGACGTCCGTTCACGTCGCGGTGGTTCAACAGCTGCTCTACTAGATAGCGCTGGCCACCGCGAGAGTCCTCTAATGGAGGTGGAGGAGGAGGAAAGACGCTCTCCACACGATCATGTGGATCGGTGTGTTCCCGAGAGCTTCTTTGATCGCGTAACGCAAGGGTTACGCGACGATCTCGAGCATGAGCGGAATAGGCGTCTCCAGATGGTGGACACTGCCTCGAAGCATCGAGCTGAGTTTGCCTTTGCTCAGCTTGAGAACGAGAGATCTCTGACATCTCTTCGTGACGAGCTAAGGGTAGCTCGTGGGATTGTTGATCGGTCTCGGGCTGAGATAACTGCTCTTCAGACCCTTGTTGATGCCCACCATCGGGAGCACAAGGCTCTCTGCGAGATGCTTGAGCGCAAGGGCGTTCTTCATCGGAAGAAGCAGCGTACTGATGGTACGGCTTAAGCCGACCAACGTAAAACGTGGGATGCGTTCGCATCTTACGTGGTAACTCGATCGTGTATGCATTGCCTAGGCGGTGCAATACACGAAATGGGCCAATGTACTTGGGTAGTAGTTTACTGCTACCCAAGTTAGTCACTACATGTTTTGGTAGATTAACCGTAGACAGTAGGACTAAGTCACCTTTATTAAATAAAAGAGTGTTTGCCCTTCCATTCTTGTCAGCGTTTTGCTTTTGCTTATCCACCGCTTCGGCGATGGAGTCTTGCACAAAACGGACTACCGTTTCACGAGCCAGTATGAACTCATCTGATGACTCGTTAGCTTCAGTGTGCTGTGAGCGCACTGCAGCAACAACAACCTTTCTTCAGTGAGGGCTCCCGCACTCTCACTGGGATCATTGTCTTCAGTGAGGGCTTCCGCACTCTCACTGGCATCATCTTCTTCGATATCGATGTTATCGATATCGGCATCAAACGCAATGACTTCTTCGTCAGAGCGTGATGAGCGTGAACCAAATCGGTTTTTGCTCGCGCGAGTCCCTCCCCCCCTTAAACCAGAGTTACACTCTAGTAAGGTGGGTATACGCGGATGGCGCAAGCCATTCACGTAAAACGGTGTGTGTGTCGTGGACGCATGCACCGAGTTGTTGATGGCAAACTCTACCATTGGCAAAAACTCACTCCAACTCTTAAAGGAGTGTACGTATCCTCGAAGTATCTCTTCAAGGACACGATTGGCACGTTCCGTCTGACCATCCGACTCTGGATGATCAGATGTTGACATCTTCAAGCGCGTTCCGAGTGATTTGAACACGGAACGCCAGAAATCAGCAGTGAATCGTGGATCTCTGTCTGATACGAGTTCACGGGGCAACCCATGAAGTCGGAAGATGGTGTCAATAAAGACACAAGCACAGCCACTTGCCGTGATTGTCTCTGGTACAGCCACAAGGTGTACCATTTTGCTGAATCTGTCAACAAATACGAGAATACCCGTATTCCCGCGTGCGTCTTTGGGTAACCCGAAGACGAAATCCATTGAGATGGATTCCCAGCACTCAGCCGGAACCGGTAGAGGCTGTAAAGGTGCACGCAGTGAAGGACTTGACTTCACTCGTTGGCAGACTTCGCATGCGCGAACATACTTTCGCACAAACTGATACTGGCGGGGCCAGTAAAAGTCTCGACTTACCGTGAGATATGTTTTCTCTCGGCCACGATGTCCTCCTATAGGAGCATCGTGATACTCGAACATGATCCGCAAACGCAGATCAGTATCATCTGGAATGACA